CTTGGTGTTCGTCCTAAAGAGGTTTGACTGTACATTGTACATGATTGTATTCTACGCAGTGAACACACTGTGATCTATCCAAAACAGTTATGAATACCACAACAATGTAGTTCTTCTAAAGCGAAAGTTTGTCTTATCAGGGATTGCAATAAACAGAACCAGCTGAAGCGTCATTTCACGAAGTTTTTATTGAGATAAAAAAAAATAAAAAATTTCACGGTTCGCGTGAGACTCGGCTGGAAGCCGAGTTTTCCGCATCCGCCGTGGGAACGCCACCACCCTCTAGGATCAAAGGCGCAGATGCAGCGCCTAAACGGTGGGAGGTGAGTAGATCAGACCCACCACCAAGTGGTCAAAGACCGAAGTCCCTTTAGCTGCATCCATGTTACCCTCGTGCCAGGCCACGAGTTCCCAATTAACTGTGGGTCGCAGCACGGCTGGAAAAATTCCTTCCGCTTCCAAGCAGGACTTGAACCTGGTACCCTCTGTTTCTCAATCATGGTCTTAGACCATCCCACTATGCCTGCCTGGCTGAGATGTCGCGAGCAAATTCTAGAGAAAGTGGTGATGGACAAAGAACAGTCTAAGATGGAAATGTAATGTGAAGAACAATAATACCAGGAACTATGAACAAAGTAATATAAAATGATGCATCGAACTAGCTTTCGCACAACGCTCATCAGTGTTTACCTGTGTCATGTACACCAGAAATGAGCACAGCAGAATATACAATCATGTAACTGATGTAATGATTTGTAGCACTTGCGGGCACGTAAGCAGGCACAGGTGCGATGGTAACACAACGCACAGGTGATGCCTGTGCTGACAAAGCAGCACCTGAGAGAGAGAGGGAGAGAGAGAGAGAGAATGAGAGATTGGAGAGAAAGAGAGAGAGAGAGAGAGAGAGAGAGAGAGAGAGAGAGAAAGAGAGAGAGAGAGAGAGAGAGAGAGAGAGAGAGAGAGAGAGAGAGAGAGAGAGAGAGAGAGAAAGAAAGAGAGAGAAGAGAGAGAGAGAGAGAGAGAGAGAGAGAGAGAGAGATAGAGAGAAAGAGAGAGAGAGAGAGAGAGAGAAAGAGAGAGAGAGAGAGAGAGAGAGAGAGAGAGAGAGAGAAAAGAGAGAGAGAGAGAGAGAGAGAGAGAAAAGAGAGAGAGAGAGAGAGAGAGAGAGAGAGAGAGAGAGAGAGAGAGAGAGAGAGAGAGAGAGATAGAGAGAAAGAGAGAGAGAGAGAGAGAGAGAGAGAGAGAGAGAGAGAGAGAGAGAGAGAGAGAGAGAGAGAGAAGAGAGAGAGGAGAGAGAGAGAGAGAGAGAGAGAGAAAGAGAGAGAGAGAGAGAGAGAGAGAGAGAGAGAGAGAGAGAGAGAGAGAGAGAGAGAGAGAGAGAGAGAGAGAGGAGAGAGAGAGAGAGAGAGAGAGAGAGAGAGAGAGAGAGAGAGAGAGAGAGAGAGAGAGAAAGAGAGAGAGAGAGAGGGAGAGAGAGAGAGAGAGAGAGAGAGAGAGAGAGAGAGAGAGAGAGAGAGAAAGAGAGAGAGAGAGAGAGAGAGAGAGAGAGAGAGAAGAAGAGAGAAAGAGAGAGAGAGAGAGAGAGAGAGAGAGAGAGAGAGAGAGAGAGGGAGAGAGAGAGAGGAAGAGAGAGAGAGAGAGAGAGAGAGAGAGGATGAACACAACAACGTTACAATGGTGTGCATGCACCTGCCCAGCCGTCAATCAACTCTGGACAATCCTGCGTAGAAGAAAATATTGCACTAGCTATATTAATTAGTCTCTGTCAACCTAGTGATTCCGTACGTACATTGTAGTTTGACTTGTTTTATTCAAAGACCAACATTAAGTGAATAATAGCAAGAAGGTACAAGAGAGGAGCTAGAGAGAAAAAGGAGACCAAGGAGGAGACCAGGTGGAAAAGGAAAGTAAGTTAGGAACATTGAAAGGATCGGTCACGCAACACGACTAACAAGTTAGTACATGTACTAGTAACAACAGTTACCGGTGCTGGGAGGTGTGAGGTGGCTAGATGAGATCAGCTTTGGTTGCATAGGCTGATGGTTGCCACTGGCCTACAGTACATTTTTGTCATAGTGAACAGCTGAGCAGTGAAAACAATCAGTGACTGTTACTTGACCTTGGACTACAATACTCTAAGTAGAGGGAGGATAATGGCCAAGTCTCACTGAACACAACATTTTTCAACTTGCAAGTCGCGGCCTGATGATTGCATTGTGCAAGAAGGGCGAAGAAACTACTCTGAGTGGCGACGAATTCTGTAAACCTTCTTCACTGTGCCATTTTGTGTGTAATGGTGCTCCACGTTATTGTGTTGAGCCCTCTCCGCTGGCATTTCCTCTCTGTAAGCAGAGGCTGATTATTAGTAGGGCTGTGGTTGCTATTAAAAAAAGAAACAAAAAGAAAAAAGGGAGAGACGTCTAAGCGTATCTGTGCATTATCTGCTACATACGGGCAGAGTGAAGTCTCGAAGAACACCGATCAGCAACCTTTCGCTTTAGAAGAACTCGCATTCATACATGTACTTCCTTTGGATACAATAACCATAACTGTGTATTTACTGGGTATGTTTCTCTGTGCTGCGCTGATGAGTCCACAAAGGACGAAACAGTTCTGTCCGCAGATTGAGCATTTCGCTCCTGCTCTTGTAAGTTGTAGCAGTTGAGTACTCTTTTGTGGGGTAAGAGGCTGATAAGAAAAACTCTTTTGTGGGGTAGTGCCTTTGCTGTTTGCGTTATGCAGAGCTCACTGATTTGTCAGTTTCAGCACTCTGGCAAGGTACATGTGCGTTCGGGCCTGGTTTAAAATTAATATGGCTTTGGAAAATTTATTTTTCATTGCTATTAGGTTCGACCTCATTGTCTCTGTGCTGCGCTGATGAGTCCACAAAGAACGAAACAGTTCTGTCCGGAGATTGAGTATTCACTGGGTATAAACTTCGGAGAACGCGCGTTATTGAATCGGTCCCTTGACGTTCGTCTTGGACAATGTTTACATGTACATGCACATTGTAGACTGCGAAATTGTGTAGTCGGTTGATCAACAATGACGTACACATGTATGGAACTATTGGAACAGGAAGGCTTTTGCTCGGTACGGTCCGAGCGACCAGATCAATTATGCTATCATCTGGAAATCAATCAGGGTCGAGACACCTGGTGTCATGGGTACAGATGGTGTTCTGCTGCTAGACAAGAATGTGTGTGATGTGATCGTCTGCATGAGGAATGTTGTGTGTCCCGGTGCCTAATATTAAAGAGCATGCTACTAACGTCACACGTGCATAATGATGCATGCTAGGCACTTGCTGAATTTGAGTCGAAAGTTCATATCTTGAAGTACATGTACATGTACATGTAGCAGCCATCTGATATTGTTCATTTCGAACGTTCCTACAATCGCTGTAAATTGAGTTAGATTATACATGTACATGAACTTGTAAAGGCATGTCAGAATGGACTCGGATGGAGAGCCAAGGATAAATTTATAGGAAATATAAGGACCATTTATGGACCAAGGAGCTCACTAAAGGATATGTTGGTCTCGTCGTCATTCAGCAAGCCACAATGCCCCAGGACGGTACAGCAGCAGAGGGAGAAGAGGGGGCGGTGTCGGCCGGCTGAATGTCGTGCATGCGATGGTGGTCTGAAGCGTGATGCTTGTATGTCCCAAGATGTGGTGTACTCTATGACATGTACCATCTGTCAAGAAGAATACGTCGGGGAAACAGAAAGGACAACACGCAAGAGGACTGAGGAGCACTACAAACAAGCCAAGAACGCGACATTGGTAAAGCCATGGGGAGACCATTATCGACAAAAGCAGCGCATCTTCCCATCGTCACCGCAGTTTTCACCATTCGCCCATCTGCAAGTTCTCGCCAGCAGGCAACGGTCATACGTTGACCACAGAATCATGGAGGCTATTCATGAGGAAGAGGAAGCCGGCAGTGAACAGTGACCATGGTTGGCGACTGTTGGGTGATGTGTAAATATATCTGTCAAATACCATAATTTGTGCAAGAATGTGTGCACTGTGTGTGTGTGTGTGTGTGTGTGTGTGTGTGTGTGTGTGTATGTGTGTGAGTGTTGCTAGAAGTGTGTATTTTTCTACTTTGTACATGTACTCACACTAGTAATCCTGCACTATCACTGCACTATTTTCACTTCATACATATCACACAGAATTATAATCTCGCTTCCTGTGGTATTGCAACATTTTACGCTATACCATCACACCTTTGGCCACTAGTACTTGTCACATATATATAAACCCCTGTTTTGTCTACAGTAGACTTATTCCTGATGATGGGCCTTGCCCGACAATTTCATCTAATGTATATCAATTGCAGTGTAGCCTAGAGACCGTTAGAGAGAGTGTGTACAAGGTGTGTGTACAGGATGTATGGAAGGAACTACAAGTTACGCTATAATGTCCACTAACACCACCAGTTACTCAACAATGAGCTCATGCGATAACATTGCACGACATTGTCTTGGTTCCTTTTTCTTTTCTCTACATGTAAAGTCATGTTACTGCAGTATTAGTTGAATGGAATATGAGCCAGGTGCAGGCTCAGTGGGGTCACCACCATCTTGCCGACTGAGCAGCGCAGATACACGTTCATTGTACATGTACAATGAAGACTAGCTTCATTCACCACCCTCAAGGCCTCAACGTCACGGTTGCCCTGAAAAACGACCCAAATCAGGTGTTTATTCCCAGATTGATGGGTCTCCTAGCCGATCGGGTCCTCCAGACTCCTCGTTCAGTTCTAGCCAGCCATCATCTCATGAGATCCATGGTGTCCTTTGTTCGCAGCGGGAATTGTTTAACTTCGGCCAGTATGCCTATAATTATCATTGTACCACTGTATTCACGTCGTCTTGGGGTGAGACATGGGAAAGTTGCCTTACCGGGGAGTGGGGTATGAGCCCAACGTGGTCGTCACTTCGCAGTGGCCTACTTCTTTGATAGGATCATTGCCAGCCACTGGCTATTCAGCTCTGTTGTTGCTGTTGTTGCTGTTGTTGTTGTTGTTGTTGTTGTTGTTGTTGTTGTTGTTGTTGTTGTTGTTGTTGTTGTTGTTGTTGTTGTTGTTGTTGTTGTTGTTGTTGTTGTTGTTGTTGTTGTTGTTGTTGTTGTTGTTGTTGTTGTTGTTGTTGTTGTTGTTGTTGTTGTTGTTGTTGTTGTTGTTGTTGTTGTTGTTGTTGTTGTTGTTGTTGTTGTTGTTGTTGTTGTTGTTGTTGTTGTTGTTGTTGTTGTTGTTGTTGTTGTTGTTGTTGTTGTTGTTGTTGTTGTTGTTGTTGTTGTTGTTGTTGTTGTTGTTGTTGTTGTTGTTGTTGTTGTTGTTGTTGTTGTTGTTGTTGTTGTTGTTGTTGTTGTTGTTGTTGTTGTTGTTGTTGTTGTTGTTGTTGTTGTTGTTGTTGTTGTTGTTGTTGTTGTTGTTGTTGTTGTTGTTGTTGTTGTTGTTGTTGTTGTTGTTGTTGTTGTTGTTGTTGTTGTTGTTGTTGTTGTTGTTGTTGTTGTTGTTGTTGTTGTTGTTGTTGTTGTTGTTGTTGTTGTTGTTGTTGTTGTTGTTGTTGTTGTTGTTGTTGTTGTTGTTGTTGTTGTTGTTGTTGTTGTTGTTGTTGTTGTTGTTGTTGTTGTTGTTGTTGTTGTTGTTGTTGTTGTTGTTGTTGTTGTTGTTGTTGTTGTTGTTGTTGTTGTTGTTGTTGTTGTTGTTGTTGTTGTTGTTGTTGTTGTTGCCGTGTTGTATACGGGCGGAGCACAACGACATGGGCCAGTTGCCATACCGGGGAGTGGGGTATGAGCCCGCCTCTGGGTACCGGACATACAGCTCGCTCGACTCGTCTCCCACCGAGTGAAGACGAGTCCTGGACCCACACATTGATCTGGTGATCATCGCAGGGCCCAAACAAAACAAAACGCTCTATTCCTTCCCTGTCTTTGATGACTATTGGATGCATGGCGTCTCCCCGCATTTCTGCGGCGTGAAGTACATGTACATGTACACAAGAGAGATACTCTCAGCTAGTAGGGCTGTGTCAATATTAAAAAATTAAAAAATTGGAAGCTGTGTCGCCACTCTGAGTTTCACGTATTGCTACGATCATCAGGCAACATGTACATGTACATGTACATGTTGCCTGATCATGTACAGTGCATGTGGGTACACTGAGGATGCGTGCTACCACTAGCCTCGACCCTGTGTGGCGTCACAGGAAGAGTGAACCTCGAAGTCTGAAGAAAATGTTGAACGGTCTCTGATTGAATGACAGCTGCATTATGGCTCAGTGGTTAGAGTTTATTGGCCTCAAGCAAATGTTCCTGGTTTGAGTCCTGCTTGGTGGTGACAGGCGGTGCTTTCATCAGACGTTTTCCCTTTTCAATCCCGCAAACCTATGACTATTCTGTCCACCGTACGCGGATGAGCCCCACGCACAGTAGAAGGAGCGCGTTGTAATTTGTAGTTTTTTATTGTTTTAAAGGATTCCCCAAAGGTTTTCGCCTATCGAGGGGGTTTCCAAACTTTCCATAATACCAAATCTGTAAAAGAAGTGATGCGCAATAGGTGAGCAAAGAAAGAGATAAAGGTATGTAGTCTAGGGCAGAGCTCTGCGCTGGAACATAATGATTGTAAGCGATAGTACTGTATTCTCACCGGTAAGACGTCTAGGTACAGAACCCTTCAGTCTTCTTCACACATGGAGAACTACATGTACATATACATGTACGTGTACACAATAGCGAGGATTCTCCTGCCTTTCCTTCTTTTCATCCCTCATGTAAATTGACACCATCCGTCACACTTTACTTGCCTGCTTGTGAGTTTGTAGCTACATTGTACATGTACATGTAGATGTTGTACAGATTATCAGGTGTTCCAGGATTACATGTACCTTCGCCTTGCTGCATGAAACGCAGCGTTACAAGAATGATCTAGCCGGTTGTCTCTGTTCTCTTCTGCTTTTGCAGAACTACTTGTATGTGTACATGATTGTAGTGCATGGTTGTCAAAACCGGTCAAGTTATTCCACCACTACGACATGGAAAGAAGGAAGATACAAGGGATGAAACTCGATGATGATATCAAAACGAAAATTTGAAATAGTCTTTGTAGTCCAAAGAAACTCAAGCCAAGGCAGATGTAACAAGGTTGTGCATGTACTGGTGGTACATTACAGTACTTGTTACTATGCCCTTCCAATCGAAGGTCCGTCCAAAAAGTGTCAACGACATGTTGAAATGTGTGACCTGCACTCTGCAGACACTGAGACAAGTCTGAAACGTACTATCCCAGAGCCGCAAACGTGTCGTGGTGTCTTACAGTGGGCGTGCAAAACTCTAAAAAGTACTTTGTATCTCTCAGCTAAGTGATAAGTAGCGAGCAGTTGCGAGGAGATGCTTGAAACCGGTATGTGCACAAGAGATGCAATGCTTCAACTTCAAGTACTGATGCGGCGTGTAGTACTGAAACGATCATGTCCACTTGCAAGAAGAAATTGCACTGGCCGGCAGGACCCCACACTCCACACGCATGCACATGCATAGTTCATAGTAAAATGATTGTGTCGCTCTGCATACGATGTGTTCCTGCATGTGTGCTGCATTGTCTTTGAGTATTGTGTCACTCAATGTCTTGATGCAGTCGTGTACCACTTTGGCCGCACTATTATAGTATTATGCTACATGTGTAGTGTACTGTATAGCAGCATGGTGCACAATCGAATTATGACCAGGTGGACCGCAACTTTACTTGATCGCAAAGCGGATCGAAATCAATGATGCCCGACCACACGAACCATGTACCAGGACGCAGTAGTGCAGTGGGATGCATGGACACGGACTGTATTCTGTACACGATTTTTTAGTACGTGCCCCAGACGCAGAATGATGGAATCACATTTTAGTAGGTACATGACTGTACATGATTGTACACTGTATTTAAAAAAACGCTGGTAACCTTGGTAACCTATGGTGAAACACTGATACCACTGTGAAATATCACGCGTACACGTCGAAACAGTACAGGACGATGTGAAGCGTTCCTTTTCAAACTCCTTTGTGGTTAAAAAAAAAAAGAGAGAGTAAAGTCTGCACGTCCGCGTTACCACCGGCTATACAATTGCGTTGAGAAACACAACCAGCTTAGGAAGTTTCGCATGTGGTTTAGGAGATTAAAAAGCATTCCCTTCAGCTTCACTGACGACGGTGTTGTGCAAATCGCATGTACACGTCGCACAAGTAGGAGACTGCAATCTTTTCACAACTGCCAGAATTGGCATAGTCACACAGTCTTGAATGACTGCGCGCGATCGTCTGGCTTGCCTCTACGGGCGATCAACGCTGAAGATGTGTGCGTTTTCCCTGCTGCTCCTCGCCGCCCGCTGCCCCGTGGCCATTGTGGTCTTACGTCCAGAGGCCATATGGACGTAGTGACATTGCCTGGCTGCAAGGCAGGATGAAATCTGGACCCAAGGTCTGCCTTCATGGCTCATCTACCAATCCAGCGATGACCGAAGTACCACGCACACACAGTCTTTGCAGTGCAGTGTACCAAATGTACTGCATTGCATTGTACGTGTCTGATTATTAATTTTCTAAAGGACTCCTCCAAGGCATCTCGCCTGTCGAGGGGTCTCCATAATCGGAAGTGTTAATATTGCAGATGGGAGATGCGCATAGTGCTAGTTTCGTCATACGTCGTCGAGGCTTGGCGAGATCCTAGCGCAATCATCATCATCACCATTCGCCTTCAGGATCTGGAAAGGAGCTTCCGCCATTGTCATCGCAATATTCTTTTAGGAGTGTGCGATAAGTCTTCTAAAAACATTCTTTCCATCTGATCATCACCTTGTGTGGCCTCGAACAAGACACGCAGTCCCCGAAAATCGCTGAACGTCATCGTCCTTATCTTTGCTGGAAGCATTTTCATAGCTGCCTCGCACGCGATGATCCATGGATACTGATTGAAGGCCGCCCAGAAGGAACTAGGCGCATTGATCACGAGTCGCAGGGGATATTTGGGGTGTCGGGAAATTCACTTTCGCTTTCGACTCTTATCACCTCGTCAGGTACCCTAAAGAGCACGTCAGCCGTCACTGCTGGCTCTTGGCCGTTCCACAAAAGCGAGTTCAGCCTCTTCTAGCCGCTGATCTGCCACAGCTGGCGTAACTAATTGAGTTTTGAGCCGCTTGATGACTGCTTATCCATCTCCTGAATCTCTCTCCATGTGCTCCGAGGCTGTAGTCACAAGTAATGCGCTTGGTGCTAGCATTATCATCTACATGTTTGTGATCCATGTGTGACCCAAACTACGTGCGTGGATCACACATCACCCAACAACACACGGACCCGAAATCAGACTCAGACGCAGGTCCAGCTGCGTGCAAAACAGCGCTAAGGGGAAGCAGCCTCCCCTTGCCAAAATCCCTTTTGGCTCACCGCCATCGTGGCGTCCTCATCTGCATGAGCATCAACTAAAACCTGCGTTGATGGCAGACTCAAGTCCTAGCCAGGCTTAATCGTAGTTTCAATAAGTAGTGTTCCCGCCGCCAACGGACGTGTTTTGTTGCTACCGTACACTCCCCACTGAGTTCTACCATCCGTGTGCGCGCATGCATGAAATGCATGCGTGTGTGTGTCACACACACACGCACAAACAGACAGCGACACCCTCAATACACAGTACACGCGAACACACAGTGACATACCTGTTCATACACGTACACATACGCACATACAGGATGATATACACAAACACACACGCACGCACACACAATGGGACGCACACACATACATGTACATACATACACACACACACAATGACACACACGCACAAACCCACAACACGGAAATGGATAACGTTAACTAAAGCAAATTCAGCTTCCGGTATCCTCCTCTCCGGTGATCCGTTACGGGCAGGATAGTGATTCGAGTTCAGCCTTGCCCCAGTGTTTGGGAATGGTCACCTCCGCGTTTGGACGGCTCCACTTTGCATGCCAAAGAGATGGTGTTATTATTGGAGCAAGAAACGCCTCAGGAAATGAGAGATCCTTCCACTGATTACCCAGTAATAGCCGTACTACCAGCAGTGCATAGCACTACCTTGTGCCAGACGTTTTACAGGTACAGTCAAATCTACATGTATGTACATGTATATTTTGTTTGAATTCGCAAGCACACACGGCTCTCTCTCTCTCTCTCTCTCTCTCTCTCTCTCTCTCTCTCTCTCTCTCTCTCTCTCTCTCTCTCTCTCTCTCTCTCTCTCTCTCTCTCTCTCTCTCTCTCTCTCTCTCTCTCTCTCTCTCTCTCCCCCCCCTCCTCCTCCTCCTCCTCCTCCTCCTCTTCCTCCTCCTGTATGTTCCTTTATTGCATGTGGAGGTCCCCAATGCACACATCAATATGCCTACTTAGTAGTAGTAGTAGTAGTAGATTTTATTATTTTACTAGGGGAGTCCCAAGAGGCGTTGCCTTTTTACTGGAACCCTAGGTGAATTTTTACCATTTTTACATACAGAGTAAGAGACGGGGCCTGACGGCAGTCAGTGGGAAGAGCATTCCATCTGTCTGCCGCCAGGAAAGAAATAGAACTTGAAACCATCTACGGTACAATCCTGAATTTTTTTAATGAAAGTGATACGATTGAAAGAACATTAATTTTGTACATGTGTATCCATCGTGGGGCTGATTACATTGTACGGTTGCTAGCTGACTTGCAGATGGACAATGTCATGGGTTAGTACTGCCCACAAATCAAGTAGGTGTCACATCATGCCCGTGCACATAAGACCAGTTGCCCTCTTGGGTATTTGGAACACGGTCTTATGCAGGTTGTCCAATCGGTGTCCGCAATTAATTAATTGGACCGCAAATAAACTCAAACCATCGATCGACCGAACAACGCCCGTTGATTGTGTACAATGCATTCAAACATATCACGTGCTTGTTGCCATCCGACGGCCAATCAGCATCGACTTGTACCAGGGCAGAAATTGTGTGTATTGCCTGGACTACGGCATGGCAATGCCCTGCTAGCATGCTACGGAGTACGGTGACATCCAATGCCCTGCATGCATGCTAATTGCTATGCAAATGCCAGGCTATGGACTATGGTGCCATCTATCAGCGTAGCTCGGCAAGGGTCTTCGTTGTCAGCTCAGTTCGCATGTACATTCGACTGTGAACTGACGTTACTTGCTCTGGTAAGCGAAATAAAAGAGCATGCACCTATCTATCTGCTCTGAACTAATTACTTAGCAAGCCAAAATAAGTAAAGTGGCAATCACCGGGGTCAGTTTTCCATGTTCGGATTCCAGCTGTTCCAGCTCCGTGCGCTCTCGGGCAAGCCCTCGAGCGCACGGCTGAAGTTTTGTTCTGAAGTTTCAGCTCACGAAGTATCAGCTCCGTATGCTCTCGGGCAAACTCACAGTCACAAGCTGAAGTTTCGTTCTGAGCTCCGTACGCTCAAGGGCTTGGGAGCTGCAACTCACAAGCTGAAGTTCCAGCTCCGTTTCAGCTGAAGCAAGGTGAAGTTTCGTTCTGAAGTGACCGTTAGTTCTTCTGAAGTAACCGTTAGTTCTTCTGAAGTAACCGTTAGTTCTTCTGAAGTAACCGTTAGTTCTTCTGAAGTAACCGTTAGTTCTTCTGAAGTAACCGTTAGTTCTTCTGAAGTAACCGTTAGTTCTTCTGAAGTAACCGTTAGTTTCATCTCGAGCAAGGTGAAGTTTCAGCTCCGTACGCTCTCGGGCAAGCCCTCGAGCGTACGGAGCTGAAACTAACAAGCTGAATCCTCCACGTCCCCGACCACCACCCCTAGAGGAGTCTCGCTTTTATACCTTCATGCCCCCGTGCTCATTTTCAGCTCCGGACGTTATCAGGACGTGCTGATCGGTGATTGGTGTTTGCTTGTTGATGTATGCGGTATGTTTGAAACACAATCAAGCATGGTAGGAAGGTCTTGATGGAAAATGCGTACCCTCGTGCGTAGCCCTCGGGCAAGCCCTCGGGCATACGCACTCGGGCACTCCATGCCCTTGTGTGTACGCTCTCGGGCAAGCCCTCGAGCGTACACACGCGGGCATGAATTTTCCACCAAGCCCTTCCTTCCATGCTTGATTCTATACGTGTGTATTTCGCCGCAGCTGCCCTGCGGTGGTGAATAATGAACGAGCACAGAAGCCAAACTGCCTCCAGTCCTTATTGTGTGTTAGAGCCATCACCTGCGTGTGGTAGTTCCACTGCTAGCACCTCATCAAGACGAAAAGGACGTTAGCGTGTGGTCGTTCTTCTGCTAGCACCTCATCATGAGGAAAAGGCCTTCTGGGGTACAAGGATATTGTACAGTCTGCGGGTGGAAATCACATACAACTGACGTAATATTTTTGGCAGGCGAGGTGACCATGTACACTCACTACTCCAGCTTGAAGTAGACACGTGACCATGTACTGTATCATTGTGTACTGTAGTCTCCTCCGCACACGGCGCCAATCCTGGACGATCTGATGATAATGATGACGGTTGTGTATTTATGTCGCAAATCCAAAAGGGGGGTTCTTCCCAATAGCAAGGCAGCGAAGAGCTAAGGTATAACTAACTGTCTTTATAGAGGCTGAGGGAAGATGTGTATGTGGAATGTGGGTGCGTGCACATGGCTGTGTGGAAGGGATAGTCACCTGGGGTCTAGTAACATGGCATTAGCTACTCTAGACTAAAGACGGGAAGAGATGTCATCAGCAGCTGGTATCGCTGGTTTTATGAGTGTTGATCAGTGTTCGCCATACTCATACTGCCTCAGATCAGACCCAGCTGTGCATGTTGTCATTTTCTTCTTCATGACGTACTGCACTGTATACTAGTAGTAGTCACTGTGTGCATCCTAAAACACCCGTCACGAGTGCTCATGCATTGTCCTGGATTAGGCATTGGCGGGTAATGCTCGAAAAGGTGGCAGATTCTGCTCGAAAAGCAGTGAAATTGGCAGAACCATACAAACCTTATGGCGAGCAATTCCTCGAATTCTGCTCCATTTCTTTATCCACATACCAAACATGCATGAAACTTACCAGAAAAAGTAACGAATTCTGCCAATTTTTCTGCCGACATTATACACACTAGGTCACCATGGTCACACTACAAGTACATGTCGATAAGAGAGAGTCGCTAGGCGAGAAGGTGAGATGATTCACAACGCGTTTCGGAAATAATTCCCACGTCTAAACGTTTGGCGCACACATCGGCATTCGATCAACACATCAAAGTCTGCGGGCTACATTTTGAATGCTACCACGGCACTTTGCTAGCTATAAGATCAAGTGGAGCTACATGCATTGTCGTGCATATGTAGAGCGGGAGTAATCTTTTGCCAAATGAAACGCAGGATCACGGTCGACATGATATCCGCGTTGCACTGGAAACATCCTGTCAACACCTTCGAGTCATCGCCTCAAACCACCACTTGCCAAGCGCCAAGTGGTCTTCAGGACTTGGATCATTTGAGCCCTCCCGACCATCGATCACCTGCGTACCGTGTGTACGAGCATAACTACCTTTGCTAGTAGTCGCTATCAAGGAGCATCTTGGCAGCTGAGTGTCTGATAAAGCCTGGTCAGCGCACCTGGTCGAGAGCGAGAAAATTCTTGGCATCGCATCTCTGCAGACCAGGACGCCGAGAAAATCTTTCCGACTCACTCAGCTCAGCGGCCCGACCCTGGCCTGGATAGCGAGGGTGTAAAGATAGCGCAGCCTATTGCCCAGGGGTGTACAGGCCAGCGATCTTCAACAACTCCCCAGCACCATGCACTTAGCACATTTTGAGCGCCATTCCAAAGGCAGAGCTAAAATGGTCCCAATAATGGCTCATCCCGCATGACTAGTACTAGTAGTGGTAGTAGTTGAAACCTCTGAAGATTCACATGCTCACTACAACGAGCATAGTGCGGGTAGCAACTGGAAAAGTGAGGCGAACATCGCCCGTCGTGTTCACGCCAGGAAGTGCGAAGTATGTAAGTACGAGCGGAGTAGCGCTCTGGCGAGGAAAACATTCGTTCACGACAAGGCCGCTCACTTCGTTCTGTGCCGACGAACCGGCAGGACTCGCTTGAAACGGAAGCAATTTGTCACTGCTCGGTGTACTGGATGCATGTTTCAGGGCTCAGTTTCACCCGCAGCTGACAACTAACCGTTACTTGCAGCGTTGGAGCGGATGAACCAGAGCCTGTTCAGCTGCGTTTATAGCAGCTCGTTGACAGAGAAACTACTCGCTAGCAGAGCGACGTCGCCACATCTCCACTCGCTGGGTCACACCGAGGTGTTACTGACAGCCCCCGGGACGTGTGGACTGAATATTAGCAGGCGAGAGAAGTTTTTTGCTCTCTCTTTTCGACGTTGAGTGAACCGAGGGCGACTGCAGGAGATCTTCCTCCGTCAGTTTTGCTTGTTGACCGGTCGATATCAGCTGTAACGCGTATTGAGCTGTCGGCAGTTCGTCAAGCTCTTTCCACGCACCTTTTGAAAGGTAGTGACTGAACAGCTGACAATCCCGTGGGTGGTCAAGAGAACTCTCTCTCGATCTCTCTCTGTCCTGCAACCCGACAGAGGGTTATCAATTATTGGGGCTGAGTTAGTTTCGCTGTTGACGCAGCTAATAGTAATACATGTAACCCAGCCACACGGCACTAGGCACTAGGGTAGTGATATTGATAGGCCGCAGATTTAGTTGAGGCAACGCCTCCAGCAACACGGTGCGGCCATTTTGCAGTTTCAACTCGGCCGCATTTGTCAACCTGCAGCCGCAACAACAGGCAGGGCACTCGTTTTGAGGCCTTCCGCTGGAACGGCGTTGCGGAAGGCGTCGCAGAAGCTGACATCGTGGGCAACGCTGAGCCGTTGCGTAGGTTCGCAGCTTTGGGCCCAGCAGTTCTGAAAGGTGTGCGGTGTGGCCACAGCACCCTCGATCTGACTCAGCTTTGCTTGCAACCCCATACCGCCGACCCTACACTAGGCTACAGCACAGTGTGATACACGTGGAGTGAGCCCGCAGCAGCAGTTCTGCTAGGTGAGAGTACCAAGTCCAAGGTTGCTGTACTGAACGCGTGGCTAGGCCTTGTGTTAGGATCCTAGTGTCGACTGAGATCACATCAGCAGAGTACGGCTCGCGGGACAAAGACTCGTGACCCAGTTCTGTGCACTCGTTCAGCTCGATCCGATTGTCCTGCCGCTTGCGACGCAAATCAGGCAAAAATCGCTGAACTAGTTTGAGAAACATCATCCCGGCCCCTTCGCTGGAATTATACTTTATAATTTAGTTTTGTCCTGTCCACGGGCACCAGTACGTTTAGGGTGCTGGCGTAGGGTACGGGTTGTTTGTGCAACCCCTGCCATCGCAGGAAAGGACATGGGAACCAGAAGAACGCGGATACGACCGACAGCCAGGGTCAGTGCTGCTGCTGCTGCTGGCGATGGTGGAGTAGCGGCGATGGAAATATGTGCGCACAGAGTACTGGTCTGGTGTCTCTTGGCAGCGGTAATCTTTGAAGCGGTGGACGCTAGGAAAGCTGAGACTGTGTTTTATCAACTGGGTGACGAGTTTCGCACGGTCCTGGAATGCCCGCTAGTCGAGACGAGAGAGGAAAACAGTAACAGTACGATCGTATGGAAATTGGGTTCGTCCGTCATCGCTGATGAACCAGCGGGAGGCTCAGGCGTTACGAAACTGCTCGAAAATGGTTCCTTGCAAGTCCACCACGCGAGCGGAATGGATGCCACAGAGCAGCAGGTTTGGCACTATCGATGCGATCTCTTGTCAGCGGATGGCAGCGTTCTCGCCAAAAGCCACAAGTTTGACGTGGTGGCTCTAGGTGAGTGTTTCTTGTTGCTGCTGCTGGTGCTGCCTTGTCAAAAGGGATTTTGTTATCAGATCATCTTGTCCAAAGGCTTTTGCGTAACACTGTACACGCCTGTGTGTGTGTGTGTGTTTGTGTGTTTGTGTATCGTTCAGTAATGCGTATGTTCGTCAGTGTACATAGCGGATATTCCCTATATTTTTATTTCACACTCAGCCAGAGTTTCGCAGCGGACCTATGGCTGTGGTAGTTCGTGCGCTTTTGTTGTGACACTAGAACCGTGTAGAAATGCACAGGTGTAGGGCTCGTCTGGCGTGGTTGAATAGAAGGGGTGCACGCGCGTGCTTTCTGGAAAAGAACGTTGAGACGGAAGGCCAAGGCCACATGCCAGTAAATACTAGTTGTGGGATGATCGCTTCTCCGTCCGTGTGTTCGTTGGTTGTCCGTGTTCACACCTGATCAGCTGAGAGAACGAATGTCTACCCTTTTTGGTTGATAGTGATAGTGAACCACGATAAGACTGACCTGTCACTACCGCGCTAGTAGTAGTAGACCCAGGTACTCGAAGTCCGTACACTTTTACAGTGTGTGTTTGTCGAGCTGAAACTCACACTAGCAATGATCACTTGCCAGAATCCTGCTCGTGGATGGAAGGTATCTTGTCCAAGTTTGTTCTGAGGCCAGGCTCGATTGAACCAGGCCATCTTTCGATCCGATCTGTTTCTCTGGAGTTCGCTGATTTTTCATATCAAATTTTTGTGTCGCGGAGGGTACTCTAAGTCCGTACTGATCAGAGGTGACTCGAAATACACACATATTTCTGCTAATTGCTAACTTGCAATCCCTCGGTTACGACGAAAGCACCGAAGGGATATGTTTGGCATGTGCCTCCACCAGTATTTCTTGCAAAAGCGTAGTTTGTTGCCGAACTGCAAGCTGTTTTAGTCGGCTCAGAGAAGAAGCAGCTGCGCTGTGAAAACCGCGGGAAAACAGTGGTGGAGATGCCAGGAGTGTCAACCTTTCTGCAAGAATTGGTGGTTCTCTGTAAATTCTTCTCCTCTGGCCATTGTCAGCTCTAAGCTGGCTCTTGATGATTGAGTGAAGGTCTGTTTGACGCTGTGTCCGTTCGAAATCGGTCTTGGCAAAGTTGATTTTTGCATGAAATGTAACCCAATTTGTATTTCGTATGGGCACTCGAAAACCCACTCGCGTGGTATGGGACTTCTGCTTATCGTAGATCCCTGAAAATTGCTACGCGAGGAGAACATACCACACTGTCCCCTCGATAAAATATTTGAGTCGAATACAATAACAGAACATGAAATTATGGGCGTACGAACTTAGGATACCATGTACGGACTTCGAGCACCTGGGTCTACTAGCTGTCTCCGATGAAGGCCTCACGCAAGAAAGCTACACTTTTTTTTGCCAACGTGTTATCGAATTATTGCAGGACAGCGTGGCTGAGTGCTGCCTTTCGCCTTCGGGCTTCGGAGTCGTTATACATGACACTGTACTCATACAGTGCTGGTGAAAGTATATTTTTGCTGGGATAGCGGAGTCCCTTCTCCCCCTCAGCTCAGACGTGAACCATACCTACATGTACCTTTGTGCTACACTGGATGAAAATCCCACAGGAGACGGAGTTACTAATCAGCTCCTTGGCTTGAGGGTGACGTCGTAGAATGACTATGGTGGAATTAATTATTTACAAAGCATCTGAAATAATTGTTTACAAGTAACAAGTAGTACAAGTCGTGTACAATCATGTTCTTGTCCTACTGGATCATGTTCAGCAGAAGCCCAGAGTCGTCGTGGCTCTGGGGAGGAGAGGGAATGGCAGCGCCAATTTAGAAACGATTACATTCACGGCCTAGTATGGTGTAAAATAATGTAACCCGGACAGTCATATTAGTATTCAATGTCAACAGTCAGGGAAGTGAACAGCCAGAATATATCCGGGGAAAAATACGAACCCCACCAGGACTTGAATCTAGCACGTAGATCACTGAATCAATACTCTTCTGCTCGTTACTAGAACACTGCTGTGTTGGCACTGTCTGTTGGCACATGTAACATTTTGCTAGTGTATGTGCTAGTAGTGTGTGTGTGTGTGTGTGTGTGTGTGTGTGTGTGTGTGTGTGTGCGTGTGCGTGTGTGTGTGTGTGTGTGTGTGCGCGCGCGCTAGTGTATACTGTAATTTCCCAAATTTTCAGTGTACTTTTATTTTCGGTACTTTCGGTGCATCTGTTTCATACCTAAAAATTTCAATACACCAAACAAACACCAACACGCATAATCCAATAGGGAACTGCTTCTCTGTACCTAAAATTTCCGTTCACCTAACCTGGCCCTTTGCCCTCATACCGAAAATATTGAGTGCCTAAAATTTCTGAAATAATAATTCGAGTATGACTTGGTGTAGATCATGACGTCCTGTTCCATGACCATGGTGACACCCTGTTTCAGTGTTTGGGCAGGCTGCTGCTGCTGGTGGGAATCAGGCAGCTTGAACAAGCCAGCCTGCAGTGTCAGAAACACACTTTCTATAACTATAAAGGTGTCAGGATTGGTGCTAGGGATTGGTGCCGCTACTGTAGCGGCTAAAAATAACCTAACATGGTCCACTAGTCAAGATGTGAATTATGTCACAGCGGCCCTGCAGCATTGTTCAAGCTGTCTTGCTTCTGAGTGCATGTGTGTATGGTGCCTTGTGTTCTGTGCTGATTACAGCTTGTTGTTATAGGTGTTTGACGTAGATTGGTTGTGTGTGTGTGTGTGTGTGTGTGTGTGTTCGTGCATGTGTGTGTGTATGTGCATGCATGCTCGTGTGTTTGCTTGTGTGTGTGTGTGTGTGTGTGTGTGTGTGTGTGTGTGTGTGTGTGTGTGTGTGTGTACGCTCTGCAGCACTACCGCCTCGACCGGGGTCCATCGACATAGACGAGCTCAAGTCGACCAGCGCGGTGGTGCAGTGGTACCTGGAGCAGTCTTGTACCGAGCTCAAGTACGCACGCTGCACAGGGGTCACTATCAGCGTGTACCGCGAGACCAGCAGCAACCTTGTCCACAGGTTCAACGCGTCCATGGAGAGCCACGGGCGGGTGGGCAGCATCGTCATATCCAACCTCACCAAGGACACCAACTACATTGTCAGCATCCGCTCGTACTCCACCCTCGTGCCGGCGCTGGTCGGGCGCGAGACCGTGGCGAAGTTCCGCACTCTCAAGCACGACCTGATTCTGCTCTACCCGAAGCGGCTGAGCACGCACATCACTAGTCTGACGGAGATGCTAGTGAGCTGGCAGCCGGTGACGTCGCCGGCCGTAGAGCTAACCGGCTACATTGTCAAGTACAGCATCGAGGGCGCCAGTACCAAAATATCGTTGCTCGTGCCGGCCAGTCGCAGCTCCGTTCTTCTGAAGAGCCTTGAGGCGGGCAACACGTATAGCATTGACGTGCATAGCTACGTGGACCTGCCCGGCTTCGGCATCCTGGACAGCCTCAACGCCAATGTCCAGCGCCGCCTGCCGCTGTTCATCGGCCAGGTGCGGGCGCTCAACTCTACGGCGATCATGGCCAACTGGACGCTGCTGCCGCACGCGCTGCGATCGATGCGCATCGTGATCTCGCACGGCGTGGGAACCGAGCGCGAGTACCACAACAGGAATCCCACCGAGCAACGCTCCAAGCTGCTGGCCGACCTCATACCCGGTACGCGGTACACCGTGCGGCTGATCGGCAAGACAAGCGGAGTTCTCAAGGACAAGGAGAAGGTCACCATCAAACTGCCGCCGCGGCCCAAGCAGCTCCGGGACGAGCATTTTATCGTGAAGACGAGTGCGGCCGAGCGCAGCATTACGGTGGACTTTCGCCTGCCGGCCGGTGACAGCGGCACTGGAGCGCTGGAGGAGATTCGGCTGAGGTTCAGTCGCGACCAGTTTGACGTGGACGGCGAGCCACCGTTCAAGGGCGACTGGCACTCGTACAACCCTCGTAGCGGTGGCACGGCCATTCTGGACGACGCCGTGGTGGGCGACATCTACCAGATGCACTGCAAGGGTAGGTACGCAATGAGCGGCTGGAGCAACGTGTTCGAGCAGAACATCCAGATACATTACCCGGTGCCGCCAATCACCGGCAACGTACGCGTGATACCCGTGTCCAGTTCCTCCGTCAACGTCACCTGGAAGAGATTGCCGATGCGAACGAATGTGGAGGGCTACAACGTGTCATTCCGCTTGGCCGACGAGACCGCCTGGGAGTACATCTACGAGGAGATCCCGCCCTCGCAGAACCTCACGACGATCTCGAACCTGCTCGACGGCGCCGAGTATCAGTTCCGCGTGCAGGCGTTTGCGCAGAACGCACCAAGCGCTCCCAAGATGGCACGAGGCCGCGGCGTGCTGCTCCGCAAGTCGCTCGTGCCACGGCCGCTCCGCGTGCAAGCCACGTCGACGAACGACGGAGTGCTCGTCTCGTGGAGAACGTCGCCGGGCAAGCAGGGCCTGACGCGCACCTCGTTCAACATCGATTACCGCCCGGCGCTGTACAACACCACGTGGAAAACGCTGTCTCTACCGCACAACAGCACCCGATTCCTGATCCAGCCACAGCGCTTCGAGAGTTTCCACGCCGGCACGCCGTATCGCATGCGCATGCGCGCCGAGTACGCTAACAAGCACCGGTACCGCTCCAGCTCCAACGCCACGGACGAGCAGATCGTAATGGCGGCCGGTAAGGACTGTTGCACGGTGGCACTGCCGGACCAGGAACACGCCGACATCGGGACGGTGCGACAGCTGCGGGTGGACTTCAACTCGCTGAAGGAGGGCAAGCGCGACATCATCGTCAGGTGGTACCCGCCGGTGCGTCGCAACTCTGCGCGGGACATCATGGGCTACAAGGTGTATCACAAGTACACTAGGCTGGGCAAGCCGGTGTCATCAGAACAGTTTACCTACCTGACGGCCAACTATCCGCTCCGAGAGCTGCACATTCCGCGTCCGACCGGCAACCTGGAGGCGATGATCCTGACGGTGCGCGTCAACGCCTACAATCAGGACGGCGACGGGACGCTGAGCGACGCCGTGTTTGCCGCTCTGCCCAGCGTCCAGGGCAGCAAACGCTCTACGACGGTGTTCACACGGCGCGGCGTGACGTCGCCTCCCGCGGCCGCCACTGCCGAGGAGGTCAGCGACGGAGAGCGCAACTCACTGACCGTGCCGCTCCTGATCAGCGCCGGTCTGTCGATAGTGCTGATCTGCGTGACCGTGGCCGGGGTGGTCGTGATGGTTCGTAAGTCCAACGGTGCTGCCAAGCCAGGCAGAACTGCTCACAAACAGCCACCGCCACCAGCAGCACAGGGCAAGCAGCCGCCGGTAGGGGTAGTGGTGGTTGCGGGGGCGGCAACGAATGGTCGAGCCAACGGTTCCATTGCGTCGCGTATCAGGGACGAATTGGCTCTTCCCACGCCGCTCGCAACTACCATCAACGGTTCTGTGGATATGATTAGTAGTACGCTGACGCCAGCAGCTGTTCGTGATCCGTCCGATCGCAATGGACACCGCTTGTATGATTCCGCGGAGACAACAGCGCCAGAGCACCCAGCTGTCTTCGACTCGACACACCAACACCAAACTCTACCATACAGCGGTCGTGCAATGTCGCAGCATCACAGTGCCGTACAGGCTTCGACCGATACGACGCTGGATCGTAACCTCGGTCCCAGCTGTTCGTCCCGATCCGCCACACCAGATACACGGCTGTCAACGCATGCTCCAGGTTCCGCTGACTTTAATCAAACGGGCAACGGCGTGCCGCCACAAGTTGCGGATAGCACGGGCGATCCGCACAACAACCAAGTAGCTTCAGGTCTGCGTGTTGTCAGCATGTACGATGATAGAACGCCCACATCGGAGCAGTCCCTGAGCGACTTGGAGTCGGCCATTGTCAAGCGAGCCGACTCGCACTCATTCCCGATGGTCAACGGTGGTGGTCTGGAACATCCGCATCATCATCATGCTTCACACGGCGAGCTACACCAGCGTAGCGACATTCACATCACGGACGCTCACCTGCAACATCTCGTTGCCTTCCCGTCGGCCAGTATCAGCGACTTCAGTGGCCTCACCGGCGGCGATCTCTCCCAGGAGCCTACACCGCTGAAGCATACGGCGCGGCCTGAGCAAGCTGCCGACCCCGATGCACAGCAGCATGCGGACACGACGTCCGTGGAGGGTGCCGCTGGCCAAACATCCTCGCCAGATGATTATGGTGCTGCTGAAAGTCACGATCCCAACGTACCCACGGCGGGCTGTGCCAGCCTCCCAGATGAGGGCATTGGCCTCACGCTGGATCGTGCTGGCATTGCAAACCGACCCACCAGCATCAGGTACACACCACGACCTCAATCCGTCGCCAGCATACGCGATATTCCCGTTGAAACGGGAGAAGTCTGTTGTTAAACCTTCACATCAGTTCGATTACTGCATTAGCCGGGAATTTAGAAAGTGAACCAGTTTTTAGCTGGTGTAGGATTCCTTTCCCTACGTTTGTTAGCTTTTCATCCGTAGAGGATGTAGAAATTTAGGTCTGTTCTTTAGCTTTTCATCCGTAGCGGATGTGGAACTTCAGGGTTTAGCCTTTGCTGACTAGCGCTTGTGCGGTTAAAATCATTGAACTGATCGTCACTGCTTCTCGGAGCCTTGAGTTCCTCTCTTTCACTCTCTGTTGGCTTGATAATTCGCACCATCAGACATCTACGTACGTATGCATCTTATCTATTTTCGTTCCCTACGGCCTTCTTTTGCTCTCAGGCCATTGATACTAATGATATTTTTGATATAATTCAAAGCTAACCACTAAAAGTTTCTTGATCGAAATAATTGCTAACATGATCCTAAAATAATGCCATGTTTCAAACTGAAGCAATGCCCCGTGCGTTTGTGTACTTGCATGCATGCATTTTGCACACCTGTACGCGTAGTAGTATTCCGTGAGCATGGTTATAGTGCTTTCAGTCTATTCCTATGGCAGTTGGGACAACCCCCCCCCCCCCATATACACGCTTGGGGACGGACACGCTGCCATATTCTGGCTATGCAGACCTCATGGGGGGTTGAACAGGTTTGGAACAATGACGGGACAGATCCTGTGGTCTACTGAAACGCCGACCGCAATTGCAAACAATGCAGGAGCACACACACACACACACACACACACACACACACACACACACACACAACACACACACACACACACACGCACGCACACACACACACATACACGCATACACAAACAACGCACACACTCACACACACACAAACACGCTCTCACACACACGCACATACACACGCACACACGCTCACACACACATACTCAAATAGACACACACACGCGCAACCTTTTCAGACGAAATTATACTAGATGTGTTCAGTGGCTGGAAGTCGCACGAGAACAAACAACAAAACAAAACAAGCAAATGAACTAGTTATTAAACTCATCACACCAACTAACGTTACAAGAAACAATAAAAATACGGAAAAAATATAATTACACTCAGCACAAACCAAGAAGGCAATAAAAAAATCTCTGATTCTGATCGTCTCCAGTAGTACTAGTAGGTGATCTTTTTCTGCACAACATTGGAAGAGGATTTACAGGGGGAAAAACAAAAGAAAGTGAGGATATAATACTTTCAATCAACAGGTACTGTCATAGTAGTAGTGGTAGTAGTGGGATGGGGATTTTCACAAGCAAGATGGTAAAGGAAGCAAAAACACTGCTCCACTAAGCAGTAAACGGTAAGTTGCGCAAATGATGTATAAATCCTAAAAAATACAAGGAATTCGTGCTGTTGTTTTGTGTACGCGAATGTACCCAAAGCGAGCATCGAGTAACGTTTCATATAGGGCCTACCCGATCAAAACGCAATGGACGAAGGTCCATTGCATTCGATGTCATTCATGGCTGATCTGTGCCTGTGTGTGGTGTGTGTGTGTGTTTGTGTGTGTATGTGTGTGTGTGCGTGTATGTGTGTGTGCGTGTGTGTGGGTGTGCGTGCATGCGTGTGTGCGCACACGAGGAGCTGGGGGATACACGGAAGGTGCACAGCACGGTGATAACTGTCAAATCGCCAGACCAGGTGCGCGGCGGCTCACATGGACGGTACTAATTCCGGACTGCAGCGTACTCCATAGGCAGTCAGTGGTAAAGGAATATTGACAAGGGAACAGGGGAGATAGGGACGGGGGATAGACAATCCTGTGGTCTCTTTTTACCACTTTACAACATAGCCCAGACCATCCATGCAATATGGCTGATACAAGAAATAAGGATGAATGATGACATCGTGAGCACAGGTTCAATGACGTCATGGACACATGTTAGATGACATCATGGACATGTGTTAGATGACATCATGGACACATGTTGGATGACATCATGGACTAATAGAAGAGTCAGCATTCACGTAGGAGAAGCCCTGCACAATGGAACATCAAGCGAACACGGAATTTCAAACTGTAAGACAACAACATTTAATATTCGGCGCATATTTATTTTCGGCTATTTTCATGTTCGGCCGAAAATTTGGTGCGGCGTGAATTTTTGTTTCACAAGGTTCAGTGTGACAGTATATACAGGTGGCAGCAGTGCAGGCCGAAAATTCGATGCGGCCGAAATGGATTTCAGCCCCGGGAGGCCGAAATTTGAATGGGCCGAACATTTGTAGACCGTTACAGTACATGGCACACACACCATAAACACCTGGCCTTTAGAGTGATGCCGCTCTAGGAAGTCCAGACTCTCCTCATCACCTCAAGCCTACCCACCTCTCTGGCATTTCACAGTTGGGGCCCAAGTGAATCCGACCCACAAGCCGAAAGCAGCACCAAGGCTCACACGGCTGCTGCGGCCCTCGAATGCGTTTTCAAATCAAGCAAGATGTAATTGAACTGGAAGTGCGGCACCGCTTTTGACTTGTGGGTCGGATTGCTTTTGCCACGACTGTACAACCGGAGATCTTCCAGCATCATAGCACAGTGCACAGGATGGGAGGCTATCTCTTCCTCATGGTGCTAGTCGCTGTACAATAGAAGTCGACAATGTTAGAGTTGAACGAGTTGAACTAAACAATTGAGAGACCTGTTGTCGGATGAGCTTCGCCCATCACATGGGCACATCTACACATTTGCTAGTAAATGAGAAAGAAATTGTTGTTCTCTGACCTGGAACACGTCGTCCTTGATGGCAGCGATGACAGTTCGGTCGCACGGTGTCAGCTTGGGATGCTCTTCCGTGAACTCCTTATCAAAGTTATTGGCAGCGTTTTTTGATTTCTGCACACACGCACGCACGCGCGCGCACGCACGCACACACACACAGACATGAGAAAGAAGAGTCAACGCGGTTGGATCAAAGTTAGTGGCAGAGTTTTTTGTTGTTGTTTGCATACGCACACACTGGAGAAAGAAGAGTCATCGCAATCGGATGGCCATGTTTGTACAGGCTTCAGACAGGGAGCAAGAGTGGCTTCGCTTCCACACTTCCACACTGTCCACAGCCCAATACGTGAGTCGCATACATTTCAATAGAGTATTGCAGCTGCACACTTAAACGCACTGTTAAAGTTTGGAGATTGCACTTGTAAATAATTGCGTTACACTGTTCTCGCAATATAGCTATCTTCCAGAGCGATATTGATAACGGGAAGGCAGGGCTGAATACTATTGATCACAGAATCCTAGAAATTGATGTTGGTGGTGGCCAGCTAGTAATGGGAGATACTGGTTAAGATTGACGAAAAGACATTCACTCACCACTTTGGGTTTGAACGGAGGCGGGAGTTGTCGCGATTCCAGCCGTCCCCAGTCTAGCGTTTTGTAGAACGGATGGTTCTTGATGTCCTGTTCGCCTTCTGGACCACATCCCAGACGACGTGCCGGGTGCTTGGCAAGGAACTACAGCAATCAGTAGCCAACACAAGAGGTACACAAACGAAATTCCAGGATTTGTTGCTGTGACTCACAGTTCCATGGCTTTAAACAACAAACATCAGGCAACAATGGAGGATACTCTAATTTAAGAAATTTTAGGTGCTCAATATTTTCGGTATGAGGGCAAAGGGCCAGGTTAGGTGAACGGAAATTTTCGGTACAGAGAAGCAGTTCCCTATTGGATTATGTGTGTTAGTGTTTGTTCGGTATATTGAAATTTTAGGTAAGAAACAGATGCACTGAAAGTACCGAAAATAAAAGTACACCGAAAATTTGTGAAATTACAGTATTGGGAGCAGCGCAGGTATGCATAGCCAGGCAAAGGAGATAGGAACGATCAATCCGCTGCAAAGTATGTGCCTAGTGCTATTGTGCACCTCTTTTGTTAAGGTGCACTGCGTCTGTGCAATCAGTAGTCTGGCCCAAACAACAAGAAAGAGTAAGAAATCAGATAGTTTTGAAGGTGTTCACCAAGCATGTGCGGCGGAATGGTGTGTGTGAGAAACAGAGACAGAGACACAGAGAGAGACAGAGGCAGAGGCAGAGAGAGAGAGAGAGAGAGAGAGAGAGGCAGAGAGAGAGAGGCAGAGAGAGAGAGAGAGAGAGAGAGAGAGAGAGAGAGAGAGAGAGAGAGAGAGAGAGAGAGAGAGAGAGAGAGAGAGAGAGAGAGAGAGAGAGAGAGAGAGAGAGAGAGAGAGAGAGAGAGAGAGAGAGAGAGAGAGAGAGAGAGAGAGAGAGAGAGGCAGAGAGAGACAGACAGATAGAGCAGGAGAGGGAGAGACCAAACAGGAGAGAGAAATAGTGTACCGATTTTTTAGGGGGCCGCAGTCTCTCGGAGGCAAGGATACACAAGGGTCTCAGTGAACACACTGTTATTTATTAGACACTGAAGTTGACTGAACTGAACTGAAATATAACTAACTGGCAATAAAAAGAATCGTGAGCAGCAGCTTTTATACACAGGCAGACTCCGTACACTAATGTACGGGGATACGCTAACGTACGGGGATAAGCTAACGTACGGGGATACGCTAACGTACGGGGATACGCTAAAAATATAAGCTATACGCTGTGAAAGTCACCAGCGTGCCAACGCTACAATAGAACGAGAGAAAGTTTTTTCGACCAGACAACATGAATACTTACACCCATGCACAGGGAACAAACTTCCTTCGACAGTGATTTTCCAAAATGAACCTCGTCTCCAAGAATCGAGCTGAAGAGTTCGTCCTCATCTTCACCATCGAAGGGAGGCTGATCGTGCACGTTGAAAGGGCAAACATACACATGCACGCACGCACGCACGCACGCACACACGCGCACACACACACACACGCGCGCACAAACACACGCACACGCGCGCACAAACACACACACACACACAGAAACAGGAGAACTAGGTTCAACACCACACACATCTTTACGAGTTCGGAAAACAATTCAGCGAGACAAAACAATGATCTACACTCCCTGCATAAAAATGAGAACCACTTGACCACAGCCTTGATCCATGGAGGGTGGTGGCCATGGAGGGTGGTGGCCGTTCTACGGATGCGCAAACTCGGCCCCCAGCCGAGTCTCACGAGAATCGTTTTTTTCTTCTTTTTTACCGACCACAGCATATTCGCAACATGCTTATTGCTGCACTACTTTTCGAAAATTTGTACTGAAATCAAAAGTTCCCTGGGAAAATCGATGTTTCTCGTGCCAAATTGGCACGCGAAAAATCTTTCTGCACTCGATGACGAAAAATCTCCACACAAAACATGGTTCGTATGAAAGCCAGTTCACACGGATTCTCCGCGCCGAAAAATCGTATGAAGCACGCCTCCAAAAAACCGTAGCGCCCATACGGATTTTGGCAAGGAGAATGGTACCCCGAAATCTCTCTATTGACCAACTGTGGTGCAGTTTGACGCGAAAGTTACCTTTACGTATACTAGTCCATCAGCCAGTGGTGCCAAAGTGAGTCCCCTGTTGCACTTACAAATCGAACACCTGGAACTGACATCAATCGACAGCAAAAGCATCACTGAATCCGACCTGCCTACTTTCCCTGGCGAAACTCTTGCACTCCTTTTGCAGTGCGCCTTGGAAGTTCGACAAATTTCTTCTTCTTCATCAGCCATTACGAGGTTTTCCATCCGTTTTATCATGACATCCAATGCGTCTTCAGTGAAAAACGTGGAGTTTTGTCAACGTTTGGTGTGGTTTTCCGTGGCGATCGACCTAAAATCGCGAAATAAATCACCGTCGATTTGAGCAGAGGTGAGTTGGCTTGGAGCACGTACAGATTCAAAAAATATGTGTACATGCGCACCGGGAAGAAGATGAAGATGCTCACCATTTTCAAATAACTAATTCAAAAAACTACATGTACTATTGTACTGCAATTGTTGTAGTTACTTGTTTGCAACTACAATGGTATCAAGTAGATAATCAAACGAGGTACAGAGGGATTGATGGCTGATCAAAGCCCAAGGGACCAGCCCGAGGGCTTTGATCAGTCATCAAGCCCGACTGTACCTCGCTTGAATAATATATGCTTCAGACGATCCCCAACAATTTTTTGGATTTTGAATTCAATCGCTTTATTCTTTGGGTGATCTCGAGTGTGGTAGATAGTACTTCGAAGTAGTACAACTGTAACTGTACTACTACCTGGTTGCAACATGTTCAAAGCAGCCTTGCCTTTATTTCAACTGTTTGCTGTCAGCATCCAGAGCCATGGCGTTTGCTAGTTGGTCGTAATGGAGAAGAGAACTGCAGGGCATTCACTCGATGTACAACATCCATCGCCGCAGATTCCTTAGCTCTCCACGTTCCTTATTTTTCCAGGGATCAGGACCTTCCCGGGATGATTCTATTCAGGGTGGAAGCGTAGATCACTTTTGCCAAACAGTAAAAACTACGCTTCAAACCTGCTTGACATGACTCGGGGTGCGTTATTCGGAAACCCGAAGGTGGATGATGTTCAATACTAGCTCATTGTAATCTTCCTGAAGGTATGTATTCGGATGCTCAATAAAATAGAACAGTGAAAGAGATGTGTAATGGAACAACACTCTACAAGTAGGCGAACAACAATTTTATTGTAATTTGAATCCAGGCACACGTGTAATACGGAAACTGCAATGGTTTACACTGCAAATCTTCTCAATTTGCAAGAATTTTCCCGTAATTCACAAAAATCTGAAAGTTCATTCCTGAAACGCGCATGGCACTGATTGGAGATTGGGTTTAGGTCACAACAATGGCTGTCAATGAAATGCCAAAAATGGTCACTTTGTCCGCTTCCCCCTGCAGAGCGTGCAAGTCGTTTACTCTTTTTATTTGCGGATTCGGTGTACAGGGTGCCTAAACTCCCCATTGAGGCCAAAATCAAGTATTCGATTTCTAAGTGCAACAGGGTGCTTGAATTTGACGACTTCTGAGTTCTTGGCTGATGGACTATACCAGTAAGTCCGAGTCTTTGCAAGGTTGGAAAAAAAAGAGAAAATCGAAGAAAAAATAATTATCGCTGCGAGCAGGGTTCGAACCTGCGCGGGGAGACCCCATTGGATTTCAAGTCCAACGCCTTAACCACTCGGCCATCACAGCACACACATCTGCACAATCATAATATTATACACCTGACATCATTTCACCAAGCCCCACAAATCACGGTTGCCTGCCGAGGCACGTGCCAGTAACATGTACTGTGCCAAGTTTTTCAAGTGGACGGCTGCTGCTGCGGGGCGAGGAATTGAGTGCCAGCCCACACTATAAAAATGTGTTTTTTTGTGTTTTCAATCAAACTAATCAGTGGAACTTTTCTAATTGTCCATAAAGTGGGTCATCTTTCCGTTTATTTCTTCTCACACCAAGATGCGTTTTCTGCATTTGGAGAGTCACATACAGAGGTGGCGACAATCCGACCCCTGGTTTTCGTGCTGGAGTGCGGCACCGATTCTAGCGGTCTCTATTTCGCAGTGCTACAATCCCGTGCCGGATCGTTGCAATGCGTGCGCACCGCTCCAGGGGTTGGAGTTCAGTTGCCTGCACTTTATATGTGGATGAGCAACACCTCTCTCTCTCTCTCTCTCTCTCTCTCTCTCTCTTCTGCGGGTCATGAATAATTCAAGTCTGCAGGGAAAGCATGCAATGACAGAAGGAAGAGAAGACAAAGTAGTATTTCTTGTGTGCATGACCGCGTGGCCCAATGGATACGGCGTCTGACTTCGAATCAGAAGATTGTGGGTTCGAGTCCCATCGTGGTCGATATCTTTTTTTTAAAGTTTCACTTCATAATGGCAGAGGTACACAAATATAGAGGTTTCGGAGCACGATTTTCTGTGCCTAAATCCGAAGAGGTGTTACCATTTTTTTCAGTTTTTTCAAGCAGTCAACTTCCGGAGTACGGAAAATATTAGTGTTTGCCGTCATTGCCTAGGTTACAATTGCAAACACATCATATTCCCCTCGCTACGTATTTATAATTTGAAAACGTGTACCAAATTTGTACCCGAAAAGTCTTTCTGCACACGATGATGCAAATCTCAATACGAAACATGGTTCGTATGAAAGCCAGTTCACACGGTTTCTCCGTGCCGAAAAATCCTCGAAAAACCCGCAGTGCCTCTATGGATTTTGGCACGGAAAATCAAACTCCAGAACCTCTGTACTATCAAGACTTTTGCAAATTTAGGATGCCCTATGTGTTCTTGCCGACTTTCGCCATCAAAAGGCGTGTGATTCAGAGTTAGAAAATAGAAAGTCCCCAAACGTACGGGCATTGTTCGCTCCCATACTGCCTAGATAACAAAGTTTGAGTGCGCGAGTCAAGAAGCCAACGCTTGTTATCATCTTCAAATTCGTTCAAATAATTTAGAATTAGAAAAAAACGGCGACAGAAAGGGAGCGCAAAACTGAGTGTGTGCTTCATCGACTACATATACAGCAGTGATTGGAAAGGAGTATGTACATACCTGCCCTGACACCATTTCAAAAACAAGAACACCAAGCGCCCACCAGTCAACAGAGCCGTTGTACGGCTGATACGCTACGATCTGCAATGCAAGGACAAGCATACACACATACATGTACATAAACAAGCACATACACACGCGCGCACACGCACACAGGCACGCACGCACACGCACCCATACACGCACACACCCATTCATACATACACAAATTTAATTTATTACACACAAAAACACTCACACACTTTCCTTTTTCTCATATCAGTATCTTCATCATTTTGCGAGAACTGTGGCAATACGCCCAGTGAGAAGGCAGATTTTGCCTGTGCTTCTGGTAAAGAGAAATAAAGCTAAACAAAACACACAATCCGAGATGACTTTGACGAAGCTCACCTCCGGTGCGATATAGTCAGGAGTTCCGCAGAACGTACGGGTCTGCACGTTAGCGTAGATGCCCTCCTTGCACATACCAAAGTCTGCAATCTTGATGTGACCTTCTGCATCCAGCATCACATTGTCTAACTTCAGATCTCTGTAACCAACATCACAATGAACAGAGAAGACAAATTGTTTGAGAACTTTGAAACCCCGCTGACGTTTTGACACCTTCACCAACGTCCAACCGTAAAACACAAACAGTCCTTGGTAACAGCATGCAAAACCGGTTGAGTGATGTAGCAAAGGCCTGTTTGTGTGTTCGGGTTGGGCATTAATAGAGAGTGGGGGTAATGGTGGTTGAATTTATCCTGTAGATTTCGTCTGTCTGCCCAAGATAGTACAACAGTACACGGACTCCTGAGCGTTGAAAATGTCATGGAGCATCACATTCGGTACCAAAACGTCTAGGCCAAGAGTTGAGTTCAACGCTGTTCGATTCAGGAAACGTGTACCGGCGACCCTTACGCAACAAGAGTTTTGGTAATTTCAGTGTGGGTTCCACAAACCTGAAACCGGGTGAGCAACAAGCATCTGACCAAAGTAGAGCCACACAGCAAGACCGGAAGTACAGGCAAAGAGCTCCCAAGGGCAGAGGTGTTGGAACCGGTGCGGCAGGTGTGCGGCTTTGGACATCAATAATCACAAGATAAAATTATTGAAGCAATGAAATATGGACTATTTGGAACCAAGTCTCCAAATTTTTTTAGGGATGGCCCCCGCACCCCACCTCTTCATGGTTGCACTATTGTGGAATACCGGGACCTTCTCAAGTTCTCAAGCCCCTGAAAGGCAACACTCAGCTACAGGGAGAGAGAATGCCATGGATGGCACTAGGAGACATGGAGAGCTAAGTGTAACTCACCGATAGATGACACCTCGCTTGTGTAAAAACAACAGACCTAGTACAATCTCTGCTGAGTAGAACCTGTGTAGGAGTGAAGATAGCATGCAGAACACACACACATGCACGCACACGCATGCACACACACACACGCACACGCACACGCACACACACACACACGCACACGCATGCACACACACGCACACGCACACGCATGCACACACACGCACACGCACACGCACACGCATGCACACACACGCACACGCATGCACACACACGCACGCGCGCGCGCACGCACGCACGCACGCACGCACGCACGCACGCACGCACGCACGCACGCACGCACGCACACACACACACACACACACAGACACACACACACAGACACACACACACACACAAGCAAGCACACACAAGCATACACATACACACACACACACACACACACACACACACACACACACACAAGAAAGCACACACATACACACACACACACACGCACACACACACACACACACGCACACACACACACACACACACGCACACACACGTACACACGCACCCACGCACACACACACACATAAACAACATGGCTATAATGCCTTCCGATATCAAACGAGTTAGACCCACCAATTTAGCACAGACAAGCAACCTACAATAATAAATGAAACTTCAGGAGAAACACCAGCTTTGAGGCATGCCACCCTGACTTACATTGCCGTCGGTTCCTTGAATCTGCCATGCTGTTGGATGTGGTACATCAAGTCACCACCATTGACAAATTCCATCACGAAGAACAGTCGATCCTGGACAGTGCAGCACAATGCATAATACAATACACAGATGTCTGAATCCACACAATCCCACATCTATGATTACAGACAAACCGAATCCCACACACACACACATACAATTATATGCAGTGGAGAGAGGCGCACCTCAGTAAGCCCATTGTGCAATGATATTGTTTGCAGAGCCATGAGCCTACACAGCCACCTGGGTATGGTTGTGTGTGTAGGGTACTGGACAGTACACACCAGGTGCAAGATTTTTCACAGCCATTACTCTTACATTGCATTCTGGACATGTGCAATGGGCTTACAGGAGACAAAACAACCACACAAAAGTCTGAGACAGTAGCAACAGAGGCAGCAACAGCAGCAGCAGCAGCAGCAGCCGCCACAGCCAGCAGCCGCCACAGCCAGCAGCAGCAGGAGAAACACCATCATCAGCACAGCAGCAGCAGCAGCAGCAGCAGCAGCAGCAGCAGCAGCAGCAGCAGCAGCAGCAGCAGCAGCAGCAGCAGCAACAGCAGCAGCAGCAACAGCAGCAGCAGCAGCAACAGCAGCAGCAGCAACAGCAGCAGCAGCAACAGCAGCAGCAGCAACAGCAGCAGCAGCAACAGCAGCAGCAGCAGCAGCAGCACAGCAGCAGCAGCAGCAGCAGCAACAGCAGCAGCAGCAGCAGCAGCAGCAACAGCAGCAGCAGCAACAGCAGCAGCAGCAACAGCAGCAGCAGCAACAGCAGCAGCAGCAACAGCAGCAGCAGCAACAGCAGCAGCAGCAACAGCAGCAGCAGCAACAGCAGCAGCAGCAACAGCAACAGCAGCAGCAGCAGCAGCAGCAGCAGCCGCAGCACAGGCAACAAGAGCATTGTTGGCGGAAGCAACAAGACCATCTGGTGGGAGCCGATAACCAGGTGACACGAAAAAAAAGAACAACGAGCTCTTACAACAGAAATACGCAAATCTCCACTCTCCTGTGTGAACCTTCGACTGATACAAAACAACTGACAAGGATGTTCCAAAAAAAAACTCAACGCTCACATCTCACTGAGGCCCGCTTCCTTACCTGGGTCTGGAAAGTCGAGTGGAGTGCCGTGAGGAAAGGGGGTTTCCCCTGCAGCGCCAGCACTCTCTTCTCAATCATGGTACACTCGACGTCGTCGTCCTGGACAATGACATCTTTCTTGAGCACCTTGATGGCAAAGCATTGGTCGGTGCCCTTCAGCTGTGCTAGCATCACCTGTTGCCCAAACAGATAGATAGTGAGACAGACACACACAGATAGGCACTGTTGATGGCAAAGCATTGACCTGTACCTTTCAGCCATGCTAACATCACCTGTACAGTGGGTCCAATGTTATTAGGCATTTTGCCTGTTTTGATTTCCACTATAAATAAAGTATACAGCCTGTTGCCAGGACAGAGAGATAGTGAGACCGACAAATGGACAGCCAGAGACGCATGTCTGCATGAGAATCATTGATCTTTATCTATGATGATAATATCGCGTATACCTACATTTTTGAAAGGATTGGGAGAACTTCGAATTCAAAGGATAAGTCGGGGAAGTGAACTGCCTGAAAAGAGAAAAACATCGCCAGATCCACCAGGACTCGAACCCGGGACCTTGCTTGTCATGAGCAATGCTCTAACCACTGAGCTATGGGACCAGGATGAACCTAGAGGGCGCTGACAAGTTTTTCACTCCAAAGGCAGCTCACAACACGTGCCACACATACTGATGGCACTTGGGTCTTTTTCCCTCCCCCATTTTCCCTCCCCTATTTATACCTACATTGCATATTGAAAAAATTGCTCAGACCTGAAAATGGGGATAAAAACTTTAATCGAGTGTGACTGATAACCGGGGAAATACGGTTTATTCCAAAGGCTCTGCCTACTACCTAGAAGACCCAGCATTTCTCAGCTTCCGCATGCAGAACAAAAGATTCTTACCTTTCCAAAGCTACCCTTGCCGAGCACCTTCAACCACTGGAAGTCGGAGAGCTTCGGTTTTCGTCCCTTGATGTCTCCCTGGTCGTTTATGGTCAGCGAGCTCACCTCTGCAAGCGATCGTTCAGGGTCGCTCTAGAAAAATGAAGCAGCAAGTGTCAATAAAAGCAAACATGTCACTTCCTGAGGTGTTGTATACCAATAATAATAGTAAGCACAGTTCGCATGTGGCCCAAATGAAACATATGGGGTTAATGCATCTGTCAGGAGTAACGGAGCTCCTCCCTGAGCGCCTTACCGAAGCAAAACACTGCAGCACCAGGGCCTATCAGGATAAACGGATATCAGGATAAACGGAACTTCTCCCTGAGCGCCTTACCGAAGGTGAAACCGCGGCTGAACTCCGTCGTGAGCCCATCCGAACGTCCAGAGGTCCTTCCACGATAGGCATGTTGTAGGCGCTGCCCTCGCTCTCGTTTAGCAGCTTGTACCAGCACTCGTGAAAACCGTCCGGCTGCGTCGGCTTCAGAGCTGCAATGTCCTGGACATGAACAGCAAGTTTCAAAACGGCAACAATCATGAAGATGACGGCGACGACGACAACAACATAGGTTCATTCTCCTTAGGTCTCAGTGCTATATCTATTATAGAATCATCAGCTATCCATTGCAGGTTATCCTGTGACTCATTTTTGATCACTCAGTCCCCATAACCAGGCAGTGTGCAAATCAAACCGAACAGTAACGGGAAATCCCCAAACACACACACACAAGCATACGATACTCCACCTACTACAGTCGCCACCAAACAAAAATCCAGCCAGTTCTATGCCAGCTATACAGTACATGGGATGCATGTACTACCACTAGTACCACAGTACTGGCCAATGAAATCCAACCTCATGAATAAAATAGCGTTGCCGGCGCTGCACATCCCTACCACTACACACACCGTATTTTACCGGTTATAAAAAAATAATAATAATTTCACGGTTCTCGCGAGACTCGGCTGGAAGCCGGGTTTTCCGCATCCGTAGGAACGCCACCACCCTTCAAGGATCAAGGCGCAGATGTAGCTCCTAAAGCGGTGGGAGGTGAGTAGATCAGCTCACCAGCAAGTGGTCAAAGACCGAAAATCCCATTCACTCCATCCATGTTTTCGTTATTAGTCGACCTCTTAATGACCGAAAATTGGCCTAAAAAGGGCAGTCAACTCACAACCGGGCCATTGGCCGGATTATTTTCGCGACAGTAAGTCTGGGGAATCCTTTCTGCAGCTGCAAAAACAGGTCATGAGCTCATCAAACCTCACCTCTATTGCGAATGTCATTTTGCCTACGAAGTCATTGCGGGTTGTGCGATCCCAATCCCAGACTTCAATGACCAAGCTTCGCTTCAAGTCGTTCGGTGATAACGGACTGGAGAAATACAAACACACACACACACACACAATCACACATCTATGATTACAGATGAACCAAATCCCAGACACACACACACACATTAATGCATTGCCCCTGCCCCCCCCCCCCCCACACACACAACACACGCACGTGCCTGCCCACTCACACGCGCACGCACGCACCCACGCGCGCACGCACGCACCCCGCACCAACCCACCCAACTTACTAAATGAACGTCTCATTCCAGGTTGGATTCAAGGTCTTCATCACCGTCCCTGTCTTCTGTTTGGTTGACTTGTTTGGATCATTAGACAACGTCAGCTTCACGTACGGGTCAGCCAAGCCATTAGCATCCATCGGCGGTAAGTTCTTTGCTTCACGAACTGTCATGTCAACACCAGAAACAAAGGGAAATGGGGGTCATTGTAAGCAAGAGCAAAACACGTCTCAGGGAACATTTTGAAACTTTTTGATTTTCATTGGAAGTCACTCGTTGTGGGCATATCTCAGTTGTGAGCAGCAGTTTGCAAACAAATTTCAAGGTCTTTACGCTCCACCCGTTGAGCACAGCACAGAACAAGATTTGTATAGCCAGTGGCTGGCAATGGTGAAGTTTTTGTTGTTGTTGTTGTTGCCAAATCTTGATTTTCATTGGAAATCATTGGCGGCTTAGCTCAGTTTCCCGCAGCCCCCTACCAACAAGTTTCACCTACTAGTCGATATTCAGATTGATCAACCTTCCATGAGGCGGAGAAGTCCCAGTCATCATGTTGATAGTCCTAATACATTTTCTTGAAAACTTGCAGAGGTTCTTATCCGCTAGACCTGCACACACTTGTACAATTGATAGGAGGTAGGAGTACTTTTAGTTCTATGGAAATGTGCAAAGAAGAGGATACAGGAGAAATTGATTAGTACACTCTTGTAGCCGGATCTTGACGTTTCGAGCACATAGGTCTGCCAGGCACACTGTTGGCGAGTTGTAGTAAAAAACATTGCCACTCGGTTCTGGAGTCTGTTTGGGGAAAAGAAGCAAGGTGTGAAGAAGATTAAGACCGGCTCACGACAGCCAGCAGCATTGCAACCTACCCACAACGGTGAGGCTCTTGAGTATGGGCGTAGTGTCCACCACCTTCAACCACAAGCAAAGGCGACCACGTTTCTCGGTATGATCACAGCCACACAACTGCGGTACTAGCTTCTGACAGCGCTTGTGAACATTCATTTCACACGCTGTACAAGCAAGCACACACATACACGCGCACACACACACACACACACACACACACACACACACACACACACACACACACACACACACACACACACACACACACACACACAAACAGAAACACAACCAGGTGAATACACACAAACAAACAAACAAACACACACACACACACACACATCTCCTCAGCCTCAGACCTCAGACCTGCCCATTGAGGAAGCGATGATAGCGAACAGCTATGTTAGACAAAGCAACTTGTGCTGGGATTACACCATTCAACAGCTCGCAAGGCACACACACACACACACACACACACACACACACACACACACACACACACACACACACACACACACACACACACACTCACACACACACACACACACACACACACACACGTGCGCATGCAAAAGCATGCACACGCGAACGCCACATTTCGAAGGCGCCAACTGGTGTACAGATGCACCCACACACGAACACACAAACAAGCGGAGATCACCTTCCAACTCAAAACATGAAGATCTACAATGGTCACCTACACACACGGGTTCTAGCCAGGAGAATAGTTGGTGGCGGTGGTGGGGGGGGGGGGGGGGGGGGGCAGCGAGCACTAGAACCTACCAATTTGGGATGCACAATTCCCGGTATTTTGCATTTGTATTCTGTATCACTGGATTCTCCACATGCCTTGGCTTGAGTCTAGTAGGTAGTTGGCTCACTTAGAGATTTGGATCTCCATAGAGGCAAACGTTTAAAAGTTTCAATAGCGAGAAAACATCAATCATTAATTTAAGGGAACACACAATTCCATCTCTCCTCTCTGTTAGAAAATTGAAAGACGGCTGGTGGGTTATGGCACAGTTGCTAAACTTTGCGCCTGAAAAGGGGGTGGGGAGAGGGAGCGTTAAACCTTAACTGCAACAGTACCTGAGCACTTGAGACCTTGCTTGACAAGTCCATAGAGCATGGAGCCGCAGTGATCGCAGAACGTTGGTTGGCTGTACGTGGCCACCTTAAACTTGTGGGGAGATGATGCACCCTGGTACATCACAACACAGAGCCACAGAGCAGCACACACACACACATAAACGCATGCACGAACGCACGCACACACACACACACACACACACACACACACACACATATACACATACACACACACACACATACACACACACAACGCACACTCATACACACGTACATAAAGCCACAGAACAACACAGAAGAAGCTAGTACCACACCAACACAAAGATAGCCACAGAACACAGAATAATTGCCAAACCAACACATGTGGCCACAGTCGGGCGAAAGAAACATCATCGGTGGCAGAGGGAGTGAGAGAGAGAGAGTGTGTGTGTGTGTGTGAGAGAGAGAGAGAGAGAGAGAGAGAGAGTGTGTGTGTGTGCGTGTGTGTGTGTGTGTGTGTGTGTGTGTGTGTGTGTGTGTGTGTGTGTGTGAAATTGAAATCGTGGACGGCGTCGTGGCGGAGCGGCTTCCTAGTGGCAGTGCTGACTTCTCTCGAACTCTCTCTTCTACTCTCCCCTGTCTCGGGGGCGGCGTGGCCAAGCATTTGGCAGCTGTACACCAGGCCAGGCCAGGTGTGTGTGTGTGTGTGTGTGTGTGTCTGTGTGCATGTGTATGTACGTGTGTATGTGTGTGTGTGTATGTGAGCACGTGCGTGTGTGTACATGCATGCATGTGTGTGTGTGTGTATGTCTGTGTATGTGCCCTGTAGAGATGTAAGTACACATACCTCATCCTCTTTCTCTGCACCAGGGCAGATGAAACTGACGTACTCATGGCAGCGGCGATGTACTGCAAACTGACAAATTCTGCAACTGAATCCCTGCCGGCCAAAACCCCTGCATAACACACACCCACACACGCACACACAAAAGAAGACAAACAGGCGTACCATCAGACAGAGGTAAGGTGGTGATGGCAACGACGGCAGACAGGCCGCAGTAGAGCCTACCCAAGAGATATATGTTCATGCGGACCAGTGGAAGTGGAGGGACTCTCCTTACAAGCAGACAGACAGCAGAAACCTACCCAACATCATTTTGTTCCCAGGGCGACATACCCCTCCCCCCCCCCCCCCCCCCCAACACACACCCTCCACCATCACCCCCCCCCCCCCCACCCCTCTCCCCACCTTTCACTTCACATCCACACACACAACCAAGTAACGGACTGATCGTAGCTACATGAAAGGCATCGACAGGACCTTCATAGGCACACCGAGGCTAATCAACATACACACGTTGCTCATGCATGCCAAACAACAGCCTGTCTTAGCTGGCACAGATGCTAATGTATGCTAAACGAAGTACACACATACACTGACACACACACACACACACACACACACACACACACACGTATATACACATCACTATGCAAACACCGCATAACATACACAGAGTTGTGCACTGATCCCAACATTCAATGTACATTGAAGTAGGACTGGCATGAGGAAAGTAGTCATGGAACCAACAGATGAGTATTATCATATTCGGCAAAGAGGGCACGGCACAACGGAGCTACCACATGCTTGCAACAGTCGTAACTGCCCACCATTGACTTTTACGGGCTAGGCCACTCGGAGTGAATCTCGTCTCATGGACAATCCATTTACACTGTCCTGACCATGAGTTGTTTGATGTCCCGACGTGGATATCGAGATTGCTTTCAAAGGCGTAACAATAGCCACAACTGTATCATGTTCATACAAGTTATGACGCTACAGTATCACCAAGGTACTGACTACACAGTCGACTGACTGGACAGGCGTAAGCAGCTATCGATTAGTCCGGCTATACCATAGTCCTTTATGATGCGACTTCATTATTATATTTATTCATATTTCTCTAGGACAGTCCCCACAGACCTATAGTCTCCCTACGGGGTACCCTTTCCAATCTGTTTGCGATACGAAATTGACTTCATTGTAATGGATATAGCGGGTACACAGTTATGATCTCCTCGGCAGTAAACTTGGCTTGGTGGCCAACCAGTTGGCCGGGCCATGGCTTGACCACCGGGACTGGTTCCATCGCCCATACACTTCCATTACTAACACAGTGCTCAATACCCACACTTTCACTGCTCAAACAGCGCTCAATACCCGCACTTCCACTGCTCAACAAGTGCTCAATACCGACACTTCCACTGCTCAAAGAGTGCTCAGTACCCGCACTTCCACTGCTCAAACAGTGCTCAATACCCACACTTCCACTGCTCAAACAGTGCTCCGATATACCCACACTACCACTGCTCAAACAGTGCTCAATACCCACACTTCCACTGCTCAAACAGTGCTCCGATATACCCACACTACCACTGCTCAAACAGTGCTCAATACCCACACTTCCACTGCTCAAACAGTGCTCCATACACGAGGCAGAGATTCCTAATGCAGAAATCACACTCTAACCACTATGTCAGTATGGGATAGTTCGGTGACGTGTACTTCCATGTTAGATAGGTATTATCTCATTGAAGATCTGATGCTGGGAAATTGTGGGAAGACGTATTCACACAAATTGAAATCCATCAGTAAAAGGCGGCTTTGTGATTACTGTTTAGTCTCATGCCACCTTACTGCAATTACTATCACTCCACTGCCGTAAGTTCTGCCGTAAGTTTGGTGAAAATTGACAACGGTGGCCTAGTACCTGCTATCATCTCGGCCGAGATAAGATGCATGCTGGCTGGTGGCTGCCAAACGAGTGAAGGCTTCATAGCCGCACCCTTGGTACAACTTGACACTCTTGGATACGCTAGAAATCTCAGATGTCCCAGACTAATGCACCGGTGCACAGGTTCTACTCTGGTTGGTGACTGGTCTGCACTGGCAATCTTGATCTTATAGACTATATAAGTGGAACCAAGAGTGCATAAACAAGAGTATGCAACTGTGGTTATGGCCCAGTGCGTGGCGCGCTGCCTTCATTACGTAACTTGCCTTCATCGCGCTCTGAAAGCATGCATTCAAACTCATAATTTCTCGTACGAGCCCATCCGTTTTTTGCTCGATTCGTTCCAGTACCTACACGATCTCTGAATTCTGGCGCGTGAACTCCAGTTCCGTACGAAAGTTCATTTCAAACCGGAGGGAAAGTGCGGTGTTTGATTTTCCGCAGTGCGCGGACTGCAGCTGAATGATGTAATGAAGGCAGCGCGCCGCGCATCTGGCCCATAGAAAAGAGATCACACTTGCATACTCTTGTTTATGGACTCTTGGTGGAACTCTTGGTGGAACTCTGATAAGACGCACCCCCATCAGCGGGCAGCAGACTAGTGTACTTACTATTGCAAGGCACTTTTTACCATGAAATACAGTAAAACCTGTCAAGACGACCACTTGGATAAGGCAACCACCTGTCTCAGAAGATCACTGCAACCAGAACCAAGGGATGCTATTTCCAAATGACACTGGATAAGGAGACCACCTGGCTGCAGAGACCACACTTTGAAAGTCCCTTGAGCAGTCGTCTTAGACAGGTTTCACTGTACATCAGTATGGGGATCACTACATGCCAGCTCCTGCGTACTGAAGAAGAGATTATCTTATCAGAGTTCGTACTAAGCAAGATTATGTCAAAAAGAAAGTACGTAATAAGCGAGATTATGTATTATCAGAGTTTGTACTAAGCAAGATTACGCCTTATCAGAGTAACGTTACGTACTAAGTGAGCTGCATTGAACATGGGCAGATAATCTACTTCATTGATGCCAGTAGCCAGCATAGAACACAAGTGAGCAGGGTGTGGAACGCTGGTTGCAGAGCTTACGGCATTAACTCCCAACATCAAACATTCAAAATAACAAAAAAGGACTGGTCACAACTTGATTAATCCTTCATGGATTTTCACACTGGCCCTTGCCCAATGAGGAAAATGTAACCCATCCGTAAGTAAGTCCCTCACTCTATACGACCTAAACTGCCACTAACTATTTATGACATTCCCCAATGGCACAGAGTACAGAGTAAGCAATTCATGCCCAAGAAAGGCAGTCTCCTGTATTGTCCTGCGCTACAACAACTTTGGAGTACAACAGAACAGCGGTCAATTGTCAAACTACAAACAACACCACCCGCATACATGTATGTTCGGCTAGGGACATTATTGACACTCCCGGGGAAATTTTAATAATAGTCAGAAGCAAGTGCAATTCATGGCCAAAGAGGCAGTGTCTTGTATTCTCTAGTGCGACAGTTGACTACAACAGTACAGTGATTGACAGCTACACCACCCACCTATGGCTATATTGTGCGTTCAGTTGATAATGCCATTCCCTGGACAATTCTAATGATATGTTGTATACGGAGAGCAAGCCCCCACCCCCCCCCCCAACACACACACACACACACACACACACACACACACACACACATTTCTAATACTTAGTAATAGTATAGCCCCAGTGTCCTGATGATTGATTTTCAGCATGAAACTCGTGAGTAGACATTTTAAAATCACTTTTTGTTCCACCGGATTTACCTTTTAAAATACTATAACTATGGAGCAAGCAAGTGCAGCAAAGGTTTCACTAAACAACATCTCCCATGAGAGGATCCAAAGTAGCCCAGACTGCCAGAGACCTGGGAAAGCAGGAAATGCCTGAATGCTATCTCTATGCCAGTGCATCCCCACATAGTAGTGTGTGATGGCAGCGTGGCTTCATGATTGATGCCTTGACGCTCTGCCATTCATAAAGTTATAGAGGGCAGGACTAGTGTTTAGTGCATTTTCGGAAAAACAAAACTCTGTGCCTGACGGCGTGACGCATTCCCATCGCCCAGAGTGGGTACACGTGCCATATCAACAACACGATCAACAGCACGAAATCCTACTTCGAGTACTCGTGAAATTCGTCACATATTCCAAACAATTTCACACATTCAAAACAATTCTCTTGCGTTCCATTCATGCTCGGTGACGGGCGTGATACGAACAAACGATTCGAAACTGAAGATCGGAGAAGCTGCTTCTAGTACTACAATGTTTCCAGAGCTTAGGCGGCGTTCATCAGAAGCTGAGTCAAGGAATACGAATACGAAACTGTTATGCGTCTTTCCTACTTATGCGCCTGGCAATTAGAATTGCAATTAATATTTTCGGGCGCAGATGCAAGTCTCGTCTGTCGCAGCTAACAACTCAAGATGATTGTTTTCTGCTTCACGCGTGACAACTGCGACTGGAGGGCAGGCCCAACTGGTGCGAGGTAACACCACTCCATACAGCAGCAAACAATCCATGCCGACAAAATCCACTCCAGAAAATGCAAACGACGGACACACAGTCGCTCTCTGGCACGGTCGGTAGACGCAAGTCAAGCTGCGCAAGCACAGGCGGTGCATGTACATGTACACACTTTGTTCTACTTGTGGAACGAGGACGTGGACCTTCGCTGTACAGACCTCGACATCGGGCAGTTTGGAGTAGCACGCGTGCGTACAAACGCCACACGCGTCATGATCACGGCGATCCTGTTGCGCTTCCCTCGAAGTACGTGAAGTCATTTACAGGGCTCGAAGGAACCGTGCCAGTGTGGTGGGAGAACAGACAGTTTCACCGGTAGTCGTATCCGGACAGAACGCTAGCAGCGCGCACAGCCATGTTGCTACCAAATCACATTCGAGTTTCTACGGAATCACGCGCAGCTCAAACCCACAACGCGGGGGGCATTGGTGTTGGGAATTATTTCGCGGTAATAACTTCTCGTGGGATACCTTTCACGTTGGGGGAAGAAGGCTTTACAATTACAACAGTGAAGGGCAGCGACTAGTGCAAGAGCCTATATCCCTACCAGAGGCAGAACGGACAATTACAACACTGTTCTACAACAGGACGAAAAGGAAATTTAAAAATTGACCAAATTTTACTGGAGCTGATTTGGTCACAGAACAAGCAGGCATACTCGTACACACACAAGTACAAACTGATCACAACCTGCGAACTGCAGGATGCTGCCCTGTGAAATGGATATGAACCACGGCTAGCGGCTGTTCGGAGTCCGTATGTGCACAGTAGCCAATCATCGAGTGCCGCTAGTAACTGTTCCACAAGACAACACTACAATGTACGGAAAAATATTACTCACCAAATAAATTCTTTGCAGTGGGCGCAGAAAGTGGGCTGCTTGAAGAAACGAGGTTCGAACTCATGGTCGCGAACATTGACGACATTCTTCTTCTTGACTGCGCCCCGACGACCACGGGCGAACGCTGGAACGCCATCCCGAGACTTCCCGTCCTCGCTCACCGTACTATTCGTCCTGGACGCCATAGCGTGCTACAAAAGTGGAGAGCGCACGCTAGCTGCGGCCTCCCTCTTGGCCAGTCAACAGCCAAAATAATTCTAGAGGTGTTCACAAATCCGCTGCTGCAGCGCACAGCAGATATGCGCGCCAGCAATTATTTTAGTCCTAATATCTGGCACCGCTCCCAGCGTTTCAGAGCCTGACCGGGCCCGGCTCGAAAAGCAGAACCAGAGAGGTGCGTTATCTCTCACGCACAACGACTGCACGTCTGCAACAGCCGCACTTCCAGCGCATGCAGCAGCAGCAGCAGCACTGACCATGCAGCCTTGCAGGAAAGAAAAAAATTCCAGGTCGTCCCAGTACAGGCCCCCCACTACTAATACTGCCCTACACTACAGTCTACTAGTACTAGTACTAGTAGATCTACGCCCTTTATAAACTACTCTGCACTACAGACTGTACAGTCTCCGGTCTCGGCGCACCAAGCCATGCACTGCACTGGCATTGATGCACACTGCACTACTCTGATGAGACTCGTCGTCGTCTGATCGCCAGTGATCGGAGACTGATGTATGCATGCCCACGATTGCATGCATGCGCTTGTCATGTACATACCGGTAATCATTGTTATGTGCAATGTCATGGCATTGACATCTTGTCATTACGGAGCATCAGCAAATCGAATATTCGAATGAAATTCGAGAATCGTCACGAAAAGCACTCAATCAGTCGAAACTAGCTTAAAGGGGAAGTATACCCTAAAATCAAATTTTCACCAGTTGTAGTCTTCTGGGTGCTGAGTCGAATGGTCTTGGTCCGAGGAAGCTGCGACGCTCCCTTCCTACTTGAATCCCAATCGAACTCGCGCACTTCCACCGAAACTGGGTGACTGCGCCCTACTAGATGGGGATTTGTATGCAAAATGTCACTAAAAGCGCCATTTCGTTCTTATAAAAGCACGGATGACCGCGATTGGCCCATATGTTGTAGTCTTTTGGACGCTGAGTCGACTGGTTTTGGTCCGAAAAGGCTGCGATGCAGCGTTCCTCCTTTATTCCCAATCGAACATGGTTGAACAAGCGGTCACGTGCTCCTGGGTGCCCAAATCACCTGGTCACCGCGCCAGCAGGTGACAACTTTCACACCAAGGTTCAACTCGAGTTCAACTCGAGTGACAGGACTGCACCCAAAAAAGGTCAAACAGGCTAGTAAGTTGTACCCTGCAGGCACGGTGACCAGCTGACTGGTGTACGCAGGAGCACGTGACCGCTTGTTCAACCATGTTCGATTGGGAATAAAGGAGGAACGCTGCATCGCAGCCTTTTCGGACCAAAACCAGTCGACTCAGCGTCCAAAAGACTACAACATATGGGCCAATCGCGGTCATCCGTGCTTTTATAAGAACGAAATGGCGCTTTTAGTGACATTTTGCATACAAATCCCCATCTAGTAGGGCGCAGTCACCCAGTTTCGGTGGAAGTGCGCGAGTTCGATTGGGATTCAAGTAGGAAGGGAGCGTCGCAGCTTCCTCGGACCAAGACCATTCGACTCAGCACCCAGAAGACTACAACTGGTGAAAATTTGATTTTAGGGTATACTTCCCCTTTAAGGTGGCTCCTACCCCTCGGGTCCAATTTTTTTTTGTTTGAAACGTGGCTACAAATGATTGCACTTTGTTCCGTTGGATATCTAGTGTACGGAGACGAATTTTTATCAAGTTCTACCGGCCGGTTTCACTCGGGGGAGGGGCCAAACATAGCGTACTCACAATTGCCAATTTAGGCCAAAAAATACCGGAAAACCAGTTTTTTGGCCGTAGCACTGGTAGTTACCCCCTTTTTCTTGATGACCAACATCAGAACAGTAGTATACTTGCTAAATATCAGCATTAGCTGTAGAAGTGGGCAGAATTCTGCTAGAAGGTGACTTTTTTCTCTTTTCGGAATCATCCCATTTCAGCGCACACGTCCCACATATTAGCCCCGCCCACAAGTATTTGACACTGGACTTGCCCTGTATTCGATGGTTATGCTATCATAACCTAATAATGGTACTGTGTAGCAAGTTTGAGCAGGTTCTACCGAAGGTAACTCGTGAAATAAAACTTTGAAGTTTCAAGTGATGCCATATTTCAAGATTCAGCACATTGCACTGGGACATTGTCCAACGCCTTAGAACCCCTGACTCCACCATATGACAGATACGTGTCTTACAATAATTGATTGCAACATCTTCCGAACATAGTAGTAGAGCTTTGGATCAAGTTTTAGCAGTTTCCACCGAAGCTAACTACCAAAACAGAACTTTGAAGTCGCCCACATACTAAATGCCATAGCTGAGCATGTGCATTGAGTGTATGGTCTAAAGGTTTTCACAACTAGCTCCAATGCGGCAGATACGTGTCTTACATTACTTGATTGCAACATCTTCAGAACATAGTAGTAGAGCCTTGGATCAAGTTTAGACAGTTTCCACCGAAGCTAACTACCAAAACAGAACTTTGAAGTCGCCCACATACTAAATGCCATAGCTGAGCATGTGCATTGAGTGTATGGTCTAAAGGTTTTCACAACTAGCTCCAATGCGGCAGATCCTTGGCTTACATTACTTGATTGCAACATCTTCAGAACATAGTAGTAGAGCTTTGGATCAAGTTTAGACAGTTTCTACCGAAGCAAACTACCAAAATAGAACTTTGAAGTCGCCCACATACTAAATGCCATACATGTAGATGAGCATGTGTATTGAGTGTACATGTATGTTCTAGTGTTTTTCACAACTTTCTCCAACATGAAGCCGATAGTGATGTGGAATTTGTTGACTGCTTTGTCCAAAACATAGTGCTGAAGCAATGCACATTAGGCACTTTCTACTGGTAATGTAATTATTATATTATACAGTGTTTGCTGCCAACATAGCAAGAAATTCTTCTATACTAAATGCGTATTCCACGGGGTACGGTCCAATGGCTTTTCACTTCACATCTAGCCAATGTTCTTCGTGCATTACTTGAATGCTTAGTCTCCGTGGTAATGAAGCTAAGAGCCACACTGGAGAAGTTTCTACTGAAGCTAACTATCAAAAATCTAAAATTTCCAAGATGCTACTATTTACATCAAGTAGCTGTGTGCAATGCCACTCTGTTGAACACAGTAAGCAAAATCGAGTCACTAAAACCCTATTTGCCAGATACAAGCTGTTGAGACTGATAGCAGCTGTATGATCTGATATGGATGGTGGTTCCACACTGACCAGCACATGTACACGCGCACAGGCAGAAGAACACACAAGTAATACACCTAACGTTACTTCGAAGTACACTGTGTACATCATGTAAATACAAGCGTATATACAAGCATCACTCCTGTTCTCCACAACCGGCAGTCCTGGGCCACTCCAGCTGGTCAGAGTGCAATAATTTCTGCAGCAGGCTTGACTTGGAAAGCTACTCACAACTGCCATGGCTGCAACATGAGTATTACCAGCGCTTTTACAGCGCTACTTGTATTATATTATTGTCAATCCATAGTGGTGCATGGCACTCGTTTTCAACAACCGAGTTTATGTCATTAGTTGCATATCCAACGCCAGCAGAAAAAAGAGGGGGTGGGGGCAAATTACCACGGTTCAACACTAGTCATACTGAACGGCGTTATGCCATGCCAGGCACGCACACAAAACGCCCGCGCGAGCGCGCATGCATGTACACACCCGGGTGACACACATTGATGCGACTTTACATAGCCTGCACTGTCGTTCTATGTCATAGGAGTGAGTGCACACACATATAATGTACATGTAGATTGCCTAATTTTGCATACGTAATAAAATTGTATATGTATACACACGTGTGCGTGCACATATAGATAAACTCAACGGCATACGCATGAGTGTGTGCCAGTAGGGCCACATGCCAATTATCGGATTAGTCTGTGAAAGTTGCACGGCACGACAAACTTTCGGACAGTCTAAATATATGACACAATGAATGTGGAACACCCTCCAGTGTGTAAGACCATTTCATATCTATTTCGCAGCGTTTGTGATTTTCGGAGCGTCCCTGTTGATATTTGATGTCCTCACTTGGTTGATGACACAGTCACAAATTATCAAATTCACCTCCAATGCCATCCAATCTGCGTTCCGCGATACATGTACAGTGAACGGTGTTGAGGAAAGCCATGCAGCAATAAAACAGTCGAGACTCCCAACCAGAGGCTACAATTCAACAGCGTATTGAAGTACGAATTGTTGTAAACAATTTTCAAGACACAATTACAAAATTTGAAGTGCGTCTTGAAACGTGTTTGAAGTGCTTCGATGTATTTACCTTCGATCTCCCTGAATCGATCCATCCACAGCTACCTGACGAATTTGCTAGTCAGTGCGGGAGATGATCGAGCAAGTTATACTATTTGAAGGTCGCGAGATGTCAGTGGCACTGACAGGAAATCTACACAAGCGTGTTCTGAAATAATTTTCTAATACTCAGGCATGATTCAAGAGCGGACTTTGATTTCTCCCTTCTTATGGTACGAGCACCAGTCGACATTGCATTCTTGGAAAATCTTCTGCGAGTGCTGCCTTCCCCTTTCATAGAAAGAACGAGTGAAGAGGGACACTAGCAGCAGGTTCTAGCTAGGTCGCCAGAATTGCAGAAAAGCGAGAAGACGTTCACCAACGATTGATCGCACAAAAATCATCGCTACCGAAAAATTTACTGAAAATCTACACTTTTCAAACGATGCGCGCGCAGAGGGTGTGAGCCACCTTAACTAGGGGCCAGTAGTAGGGCTTTGTTCGACTGAAAAATGCCCGCAAACAGAAAATACTTTTCGAATACTTTTCGAATGCTCCGCGCGTGCTCTAGTACACGGCGCACTACGAGTACTCATTCTTGCGCATGTAGCTACTAGTTCTTACTAAAGTACTAGTCCGGACTTCTTGTCAATCTTGACGCTTTCCTCTCTCTCGAACTGTGAAAAGTTTTATCAAGTGTGCATTTTGTTTCATTTCAAGTATCCTGGAATCATGGCTTTGTCACCAACTACCAGCCCCGGTATGCCTCCTGCTCCCAGTACTGCAGTAGCCCTGCTGGCGTTGTCTCGGCATCTGCGTCTATGGTGAGTTCCCCGCAGGGAGAGGGCAACTCAAAGTGTGCCAAATATTTGAGGGTCGACCTTACCATGGATCTCATTCTGCTGAGGCAGTGTAGGGCCCACCCTCACCTATTCGTCCGCGGGTCTCCTGATATGCAAGGGATAGCGGAGGAGCTCGGCCGAGATCCGCCTTTTCAAGGGGTCTCCAAGAGAGATCCTATCGCCAATAGCCTGAATCGGATGAAGCATCCGCCGCTTCGCGTCATCCCCA